TAAAAAAAAAAAAAAAAAAGTCAAATCACCAGGCAGGATGTTTAGCAAACATTAGCAAATAATTCAAGCTAGCTAGCCAATGCTACAGCAAGCTAATATATCATAACATTATTAGCAGGACATAGAGTCAGCTAGTTAGTCTTTTTAGACAGATGATGATTGATAATACATGTTAGCTGCTGTGTTATTGTATTAGATGATGGTGTACATAATTTATCAGAAATGCAGGCTAAAGTATTGAAAGTCATTGATGTCCATGGAAAGCTTCTTACCCAATATCAACGTGGGCATCTTTCCTCAAATGTCCTTCTCTTTACACTTTCACATCTTACAGAAAAAACGCATTTCATATTTTTTATTGAAATGAATGAATAACCCTTCATAACACTCGCATATAAAGAGTAAAGACAAGTTGGTATGTGTGTATATTTATATTTTAAAAAACACATTTTTTTGGGTCAAAATCCTGCTTCAAAATACCTCACAACCACTTCTTTAGATTTCCTCAGACAAATAAAATAATTTCTCTACTAGTTAAACATTAGCAATGCCCCTGTCATTCAAGCAAAGACCTGAAATGACACGTTTTACTGTGATACTTCATCTGTGGCACCACGAGGTGGCAGCAAACTGCTGTTTCACACAACCTGCCCAATGACCAGACAGACATCTGTGAAATGCTGTTTGTCAAGTGAAGGTATGTTAATTACAGGCGATGATGCCAACACAGTACAAGTCTCAGAGAGCGCTCTTGTTTGATATTGCAGAAACAATAGGAAACAATTCCTGCACAATAATGCAGGCCAATCGGTAAGGAATATAGAGCAGCTATTTGAATCGATTGGGTCGGTGCCACCTTTGAAGGATCTCATAAGCCTCGTGAATCTTCACAAACATTGCCTCAGCATCCTTGCTGGGGTTCTGGTCTGGATGCCATGTTTTGGCCAGCTCCCTGTAGCTTCGAGTTATCTCTTCAAGAGAGGCCTCTGATTTCAGTGACAAAACCTGCAACGTATCCGAACACACGGGTTTTAAATCATCAATCAGAAAATATAGGCTGACTTACTGAATACATCTTGAACTATGACTATTTTTTTGTCTAAACTTACAGATTTACGAGACGACATACCTGCAGTGCCTCTTTTTCTCTCTCAGTGTACTCCTTGAGCAGTACTTCCAGCACCTTCTTCCAAGCCTCTTCATAGTACCCTCCCCCAGTTAGGACACACAAGATCCGATACGGCATCAAAAGAATGTACTCCAGCACACTTCTGAGCCAAGGCAGAAACCAGAAAATATCCAGCAGTGCTGCTATACAGTCAGACAGGTAGTACAGTGTGGCTGTGGTGTTGTGGAAAATACAGTAGCCCAATGGAGCAGAGAACGCCAGCCAAGCAAGGCCAAGCCTGTAAAGACGTGGACCTAAATAAAAGGTAGTAATTTTAGTAAGGCCTTGAAATTCAAAGTGAAGCGATGTTATCATTGTGTCAAAAGAAAATGTTTTTCTCAAATCAGCTCACCTAATTTCTGTGCCTTCCCGGATGTCTGTGGAGGTTTGAACTTGCGGTTTTGTGCAGCAGTGAAGCTCGCAGCCAAGCTTATAGGAAGAGGTGATAAGTTGCTGCCGTAGAATATTGGGGAAGTAATGAGACAAGCAGTCAAAGTTTTTTGGAGATCAGAGGTCTGCTGGCCAACAGTGGACACCAAATGCACCCCTGCACCCACACATAAAGGCAGAACGATCAAGTAGAAGAAACTGAGGGAGTTCAGTCCTATCAGAGCCACGGTGCCAAAGTAGATCCCAACACACACCTGTCCAACAAATCTGACAGGACCCGCAGGGGGAGGAATCGAGGCAGGATGCCTTTTTCTGTCTTTGTCTGCATCTTGATTGGCCTCACCCACATATGCAGGAATCCGCGTGACCTCTCTGACCCAGCCAATTCCAAATCCTCCCAGAGTTAGCATCCACAACAGAGCATGGCTGTCTCTTCCTAAATACAGATGGTGAAGCCCCAAAGGCCCCCCTACTGCCCACAGCACATAGGCTACGATTACACTCTTTACCATCCTGAGGCCTCAGTGGATCAGTCCCTGTACAGGTGAGTCTCAGTCATTCTTGAGAAGCTCCTGCAATAGAGTAACACAAAATGTAGCTTTACCTTCAAGTCCTAATTATGTGAGCTTCAGCAGATAATTATTATTTCTAGCAGCCAGTGTTCCTAGATCATTTAATTTATTTTAAATTTTAGAATATATTGTTTATAGTCAGTGTTATATGATTTATTATTTCATTTATGCTTACATTTACAAAAAGGCAACAGACATATTTGCAATTTTAACAATTCAATTGAAACAAGTCATGCTTTTGATCACATTTATCTTTGAAACTTGTGTCCTTACATTACTTTTAAAATATTCTACTTAATTCATTAAATGTCATTATCAGACTTTGCTATACTCTGTGTTTCCTCTGTCATCTGCTGGTTGGCCAGGACACTCAAAAGGATTTTTAATCTCTGTGATCCACTTCCCCGGTTAAATAATATATTATATAAGAGGGATTTATCTTAGCTCATCACGTACATTGTCATTTAATTTTATTCATTAGGCGGGGATCCAAAACATCGAGCCTTTTGACAGGAATCATATCACATATGGCCAATACAACCAGTTAGACATAACGACAGTAGGAAGCCTAGCGACCTTTCTCTATAGACAGAGGCTATTTGCTATTTTTACCCATTCGATATTTGTTTTTGTGCAATAAAGCTTAAAACTTACTTACTGTACCCATAGCTTCAAATCCTTATCCACAGAAATCCTTTCCAATTCTTTCCGTAGTTGAAGTTGGTGCATGCTGTTGCAACAGTTGGACTTTGGATCATGACAATGGAATTACACGTCGGCCTCAATACATGATGTACATCGGCTTGAGCCCTTGATTGTTTAAACTGATAAGATGAGGAAATAGTTTAAAGGGGACGTTTGTGAGAAACAGTACACCAAAGTTAAATGCTTCAAAGAGTTCTGGAAACCGTCTGAAGGAAGGAAGACTTGCAAGTACAGTGATATTTGAGAACCAGAGCTTTAAAATGCACCAAAAAATGGAAATAAAAAAAGTACACTAGTGATGGAAGAGATAGGTTATATATATGTTCTCTACATTAAAGTCTTACGATCAAATTTTTACTTACATTGTAATGAGGAAAACAAACATAAAGTAACAAGTAGTATTTTGTAAACAGTGTGAATGGCCCCTGTCAATATGGTGTTGGATTAATAATACATTGATGTGTAAGCAGCATTTAATCTGGTTGTGAAGCTAATTGTAAGTGTGCTAAGTATACAAATTAATACAATGTTTCCGATGTAAACTCTACATTTCAAAAGGGAAGCTATCATTTGCAAGTATGCAGAAACTGTCAGCTGCATCCTGAAACTATTTAGTTGAGTAAAACGTATAGTAATCCTTTTTTAATTGTAAACTACTATAGAATAATGTGGCACAAAATAGAGATAAAGTGTGCAGAGTACTGTAATTAGTTACAATCCCCTCTTGACTGATTAAAGCAGCCATAGCAGGAGAGCTTGACAGCTTTTAGGCATTTCAACATATCTTAATAGGTGTGTTTCATCTATATTATTCAAGAAAAACACATTGCACATTTTCAGTTGCCAGTTTGTTAGATACACATATTTAAAATGAATGCAACAGTTCTGCAATAAATCTTCTTTGTGACGGTTGTAATGTTCAGCTCCTATGGAAGCTGTTGTAGAGAAAAGTTGTGTCTACTAATTTGAGAGGCAGTTTGTGTTGCAGCTGGTATTTAGGGCAGTCTCAGGTGACCCGGAACCATCTATTAGTAATGTTGCTGCAGGCCTAGGCCGCTGGGGGAGTTCCCACGATGCACTGAGTGCCTCTCTTCTACTCTTCCTGTCTTTTACTCTCCATGCATTCACTTGCTGCCATTGCATGCTGTTAACTTTTTTGTCGTCTCGTCCCCAAAGTTTGCCTTCTGTGCATGTTCTGGCTCCAGAGTTACACACTTCTGATGAACCTCCAACCACCTAAGTGCTCATTGTTTTGTTGTGTATTGTTTGTCTGTTTCTCTCTGCTATTCTGTCCTTGGTTTCCTTTGCCTTCACTTCAACCAGCTGAGGTAGACGACTATGGTTTTGCCTTCAGAATTCTTCTTGCTTCTTGTTTTGACATAGGGGAGCAACTATTTGATGTTACAACACACGTCATCTCTGCAACACAATGAACCTAATGAAACTGTAAACTGCACACTATCACAATCACAAGTCAGTAATGAAGCACGTATCTATGATGAACAGAGTTAATGAGGTTGTAGATGCTGGATGGTGGAGTGTTGTCCCACTTATGTTGAAGTTGGCAGACATTCTGGGGAACAAAATCACATTATTGGCCACATCCATCCAGAGCATCATGTGACAGATTGTCATACCATGGTGTCTTAATGTATTTCTTAGACAACAAATATTGGGGTTGTGGAGATTCAAGTGCCTGGCGACAGTCCTAAACTGACACGCCAGCATCCAACCTTTGTCTTATCATCTGCGGCACTGTGTTATTTGAATGAAGCTGCATTTTATACTGGCCTTTTATAGTCGCTGATCAAAGGAGTGTCTGTCCACTGGTTACGCTATCTGATCATTGTGTTTAAAGCCACACATGACTAGGGTGTGGATTAACTCAAGGGAATGTACAACCAGCTCAAGAACTTCTTGTGTACACTTGACTAAATTAAATCCTTTTCTAGCCATAACAATAGAGAATTAGATTTTTGACTTTATCCCCCATTTGCATGCTGCGTTTATATTGTTGTTCAGTGTAATATTGTGAGGTCTTACCCTTACTATGAGGGTATTTCAAAAAGTACTTGGTCTCACCTGGAAATGAGGAGTGCATCTTCAAGTTTTTGAGGCATAACTTTGTACTATAAAGCCATATATGACTGTCCGCATAAGCTGAAATGTTTAAAGCAAACAAAGAAAAAAGGAGAGGAAAGCTTTGAGCTGGAGTGCTGTTGCACCCGTCCACACTGCACAGGTGGCAGAAGCAGCCAAATGTGGCTTTGAACTGTTGTTTTTTCCCAGACTCAGTCATTCATGCTGTGGAGGAGTATGTGGAGGCTCAAGATGTGACCTATTTCTGCAAAGGGATTTGGAAGCTTGAACCTCAGTGGACTAAGTGCAGTAAAGTTAAATGAGATTATGCTGAAAAATAATGCATGCAGCAATTTTTTTTTCCTGTGATGTGAGGCCAAGAACTTTTTGAAGTTCCCTCACATGTGCAAGGTCCTGACATGACTTGTGTTGTGAATTGGCACCGTGTAAACAAAACTGAATAGACCTGAAAAATGTGCCGTTGCATTTTATTACACTGTGCTGACGTGCTTTTTTTATTGTCTTGCAAACGCTAATTACATATGAATGAGGGTGTGTAAATAACAACAATGCCTCTTTGCATAGCTGTGGATAAGTGTGGAGCATGTGACTGGGAAGTACGAGTGCACATGCAAAAGTAGGCTAAATGAACATTGTGATTGATTTATAGACTGATTGAGATATTTATTTCAAATATGTAAAGACAAGTACGAAGTAAACATCTATAGAATACAGAAAACTTTTATTACCAAGTGAGCTCACACACACAAGAAATTTGACATGGTGAATGAAACTGTGGTACACAACAATAACAAGACAGGCAATAAATATAGAAATCTAAATCTAAGAAATTCTAAATAAAATATTATATGTAAAAGAAAAGTATATTGCATATATATACACACACACTCATATACATACATATCCATACACATACAGTCATCTTCAAATGTATTCATACCGTTCCATTAAAGAAAAGGCAAAATTCATAATTGTCACTCAATTAACTAGAAACTGAAAAAAAAGAATAATAAATAAAAATGTGCTAAATTATAATTTGGTGAAATATGACATTGCTTTTGAATTGTGGGTGAAAAGAATCATTTAAAAAAATGTCTTGGACAAATTAGAGTACTTTGCTGATGAGCAGTGGGCCAAAAATACCTGTCAACAGGTGCAGAAGTGTGATTGAGAGTTACAGAAAACACTCAAAGGGTTGTCCAACAAAATATTAGTTTACGGGTCCCATCATGCTTGTTTTTGTTTGTTTGTTTGTTTGTTTGTTTGTTTGTTTGTTTGTTTAATATTTTTGTTGAGCCACAATTCAAAAGCAATGTCATGATTTTCATTAATTTTTTATTTGTTTTTACTTTTGTCAATTTCAACTTATTTCAGTTTCCCTTCTTTAATGGGAGGGTATGAATACATTTGAGCATGACTGTACATACAAAACAAAAATCAAATAGCAAAAGAATTATTCCACAATTCTAGTATAGGTCTACATATTCGAAAAAGAGTGAGAAGAAGTACATAAACACTTATTTAATTCCACTCCTTTTCCATTTTAATTAATTTGATTGATGACCTATTAATAATAATGATGATGATTGACGACTACCTGCAGAGCGTCCAGGCCCCGCCCCTTCAGCGAAGCCCCGCCCCTAATCCCCTCCCTGCCTGCTCCTCATCAGTGCAGCAGCAGCAGCAGCAGGTTAGCCGTTTAAACCACAGCAGCTAGCTTAGCAAGCAGAGCCACAGAGCCGCGGCAGTGCCGAGAAGATGCCCACTCTTTTAACTTTTTAACACATTTTTCCACCCCCAGCGGTTTTAAAGCCAGAGGATACTGGTATGGTTTCGGAGGATGGAAACGGACGACGTGTCGGTTAGAGAGCAACTTTTCCACAACCGCGTCCGGGAGACGATAGTAAGTACAGCCGTCGGTTAATATGTATATGAGGGTCGCAACGAACAACACAATCCCTAATCAGTGCAGCACACTCCCGTCGTTTCATTGAGGTTGTTTAAGCACGACTTAGCAACGACACAGCTCTCGTTTCCGACTTGTCAGAGCTTCCCGTTTCTTTACTTTTTTTGTTCAAAAGTTTCTTGGTTTCACGGTTAGCTAAACTTCTGTGCGGATGGAGCTGGTAACCAGGCAGGGGTGTTTTACAGTATTTTCTGTGCTGGTAGTATATTTTCTCCACCCCTTGCTTCACCTCACCTCACTCTGCCCAGTGTAAAACCAACAGTTACAGCTGAACTTCAGACCAGTCACAATTATCGGTTTAGTTACAGCAAGGCACATGAATCCTGACCTTTAACCCTAAACAGCACAATCAGATGTCCTTTCCTGAGGCAGCAGATTTTGCTGATGCAGAGTCCCATGAAGGACAATGTCTAGCAGGACTTTTCTGTCAGCCTCAGTGATTGACTTATCATTCTGGTTTGCTCAACTCTACACAGATAAGAAAGTGCTTTTAAGTCCAATCTGTACTAGGTACTGCAGAGGAAGATGAGCTGAAACTGTTGCAGCTATGAGCCAGTGAAGGGGTCCATGTTTATGGATGAATTATATAACATAAAATTTAGTGATCTCTGTGGGAGACTGAGTCATTGCAGCAGCAGAGAAGAATGTATAGAACAGATTATTGAAGTAGTGAATCCAAGAGATCTTCTACAGCAAAGACATTTACATGTTATAGCAGCAAAACCACTGGAATAGCAATTTTAATGACCGCATTACTTTTAGGTGTCCCAGTTCCAAGGTGCAGGTTATGTATTAGACATAATTAGTTTGATTACATAGACAGTTCTGGACTTGCTGCCTCAATATTTCTACTGTGACAAAGCTCCATTGCTTCCAGTAGTAACGCAAAATAATCTTAGGGAGTGTTTTAATAATAACAATAAACTCAAAGATGCTTTACAGGACAAAATACAAAAGTAGACTAAGCAAAAATACAGGCAAGCGGGTAAAAACAACACATAAGATAAAATAAAATACAAAAAGTTCAGTATAAAAGTTTATGTATAAAAAGTTAGTTTGGATTTGAAAATGACCGTGTCTGTGGTGTCTCGGATGTGTTTTGGGAGAGAGTTCCAGAAGGTGGCTTTTAGATCACTGACTTGACTTTTTCCATTTCTGTTGGTGGTATGCTTATTATTTGCACATTAAATTAATTAGTGACCTTTTCTTCCTTCCACTGTGGGTGATGCCATGTGAAATAGTGTTTTTGAATAGCAGGTTTGTTGTTTCAGTTATGTATCTGCTCATATAGTTAGTTTTACACGAGAAACAAAGGATGCCCCTGTGTTCATTGTAATGCCCTTGCTTTCCAAGTGTCCCTTTCACCCAAAGACCTAATGCTATTAGCCACTGGCGCGCCTCAAGTCTCCAGCTTACCACCTCTTCGCAGTCCTCCGTCTCAGACTGCTCTGCTGCCCCAGCACCTCTGGTTATTAATGGCTTTAGGTCAAGCCTATCAGTGATCAGCTTATTTTAAAGTGATGAATATGTGGCAGAAGTGCCGCTGTGCTCGAGCAGAATGTGGGGAAACAGAAGCAAGTACCAAAGTTAGGATAAAGCATTTTAAAGAAGTCAAAGAATGGTTTCTGGATTCCCAAAAATGAATCTGTATATTCAATATGTTAAAAAACTGTTCCATTTTTGCAGCTCATGCAACCAAGCTTCTTTTCACACAGGCCAAGGTGTGGTCTTAATTCACTCCAAAAACTCTGACCAAAATCCAAGGTTGTGACGAAAAAAACCATCCAATCCTTACTTTGAGAATCTAGAAATTGATTGCAAACACTATCAAAGTGGGTGCTGTTTCGTTTTCTGCTCCTCGACGCAATGTTTAATCCATTAATTGTTGCAAGAAGGTATTAGTAATGAATTATCAAAACCTATGAGCAGCAAACACTGTCACCATTGATACTTGTTTTTGGATATGGGAGATTGCTTGTTATGTGTTAAGTCATTTAGGATATGTGGAAATCGTTTGGACAACTAGAGTGAGAGGCTGCACAATGCATTGTCTTACCATCAACACTGTGATGCGTGTTTGCACAAAAGTACCATTGCAGGAACTCTAACAGGAACTCTAATGTAAAGTCAGGTAATCTAGTCAAACACATTGTGCTCCAACTTTTTTTGCTGCTTGATGCAAGAGGAAACTTGCACAGTTCTCAATATCCATGACTAATCTGCAAGACAAGTCCGCCTGATAGAACATAATTTACCTTGACTTAAGGGCTCTTGGATACACTGCGATTTTGAGGTTTTTTAAAACCTTTATTTACAAGAGACGGAGCTTGTTGACGTGCAGCCTCCACGTGTGCAGAGCAAAATGACACTGAAAAGGAAGATTTGATTGCCATATGAAGAACAATGGCAGGTTTATGAACATTTTTTTTTAAACCACCAAAAACTGGTTCCCTGTTGGCAGTGTCTTGTACATGAGGCAACGCAACCACTTTGTTTGATCGTCTAAATTGGCACCACAAAGCTCTGAATGACAAGTTCAACACCAGATCTAAGTGTCACCCGGAGCAAAAAACTATGTTGGATACCTGTGCTAGTACTACACAATATGAGAAAGGGTCCAAACAGTTGCTTTTTTTTTTTTCAAATATCCTTTTTGTTTTTGATGCAGACACACTCGTCTACAAAATGACCTCAAATCATTCTAGAGTGATGAATACTTTCCAAATAGTTATTGAAGTCATCTGGTTAAAATTTCCTCCTTTTTTTTTTTTTTAACATTACATTATCATGCAACTTCACTAGTGTGTGTATTTAAGAAATTCTTAGAATCTGAGTCAGAAATTGAGCGCCCTTGACACAGTGCATACATGCAAAGACCAGCAGAATAACCAGCTAATCACTGGGAACATTTGACTGAGGACAAACGTCTATTTTCCCTCGAGCTGATGTAACGTTATAAATCATCTTAGATAGCAGCATCTGGCAAATGTAATACAGATTACTAAAACTGTCTGTGTGAGATGGTGTAAATGGTAGAGCCAGGAGTACACACCCACCACCCCGCACCCTGAGCCTGGAGGGATCAAGAAGGATCACTGTCTGGAAGAATGAAAGTTGCCGATGAGATCTTGCAGTAGAGAAATGGGACACCCAGCATCAGCACATGTTAAGATACCTCGCCATCCTTAGAAGAGTTGCATGAGTAGCGTTTTATTTAGAAAAGACATGGCTGAGTCTGATTGAAGAATTTACTAGCTCCCTGTGGAAGACTTTCTGTAGGGCTGTTGAAAGAAGGCATAAAGAAATGATTTTCTCTGCCTCCCACTTTGTTTTGGTTTGTTTGCAACGAGGGGGCTGTATAATGACTTGTTTGGAAGAGAAAAAATAATTACCTGGAATTTGTGTTATTACTTATATAAATTCTAGTAAATCGTAGAGTACAAAATACTGTGGCTGGACACCTTCTGGATGGCTGTGCCCTGCAGTATTTGAGGTATTTATTGACTGCTGAATAGATCTTGAATAGGTCTTGCTTAATGTATCCACTTGTAAACGTAGGCCATCATGCTTTGCCTAAAATGCGTTAAGCTGGTCAAGAGGCTTGGTGCCTCTGCAATACCACAGTACACTTTAGAAATAGAACGTTAATCAAGATACACAAACATTTGAGCCTCTCTGGTTTTAGTTTGCATCACCACAAAGATGTTTAAGTTACTCTGTGAATTTTAAAATCCTGAGACTTTGTGTTCCACACAAAGATGTCCTTCTGGATCGTGAAATCCTTTAAACTCTCCCCTCGGTGGCCTGCTATGTGCTGCCAGCTCTTAACACTGCCAATCAACACGTGTTCCCACAAACGTGGACTAAAGGGGTGTTATTCTGCCCCTCCACCTTGTTCTCAGCCAGTGGCCTTTGTTTCCTGCTTTCCTTATTGTTGGATTAACCATTGCAAGCTCCTGGCCAAATTAGACTGCATTATTGAACAATTTTGCAGACTGAGCTGATTAGTTGTTGTGTACAGTCCTTTGTTGTTTGTGTGATGCAGCTTGTATGTTACCACTGAAATGCTCAACAGATTAACCTTTATGTTGAACTTGGAATAGGTTTTCTAGCTGAATGTGACAATAGGAGGAAAATGCAGCCTTGTTTGGTAGGTCTTCATTTGAATTTTACTGTAAAAATATAAAGCGCTAAGTTAGGGTGCCAAAGAGTATTACATGCTCCTTATAGTAAAAATATTAGGTTGCTTGTATCAGCAGCTGAATGTGTCTTTTGGTACTTGTAACTCTGATGGACACAAATGAGACAAGCGTATAAATCCTGCCATATCCCAGTGATGTAATAGACGTTACTCTTTGCTCGTAATTTAGTTTAAGGGAAACACTAAAAGTACACTGTCTCCCCATAAACCATTTTAATGTAGCCCTCTGCTCTTGTCGGATGTTTTAATATACACAGTGCATGTGTTGGACTAAACTACTGAAACAAAATTTTCATGGAAAACCTAGTTTTGCATCCTTTTTCAGAAACAGGTTTTACATGTCTTAGCCTGTGCACCTCTCCAGAGAAGCACTCTCTCTTTGTTTGTTGCTGATGTTACCTTGGGGACAAACGTCTTGATCGTGTTCCCGATACTGGGCTCCCTCTGAGCTCTTATTGCAGAAACGTTTTGATTGATGATTGCGTTCTGGCAGCAGCAGTTCACTCGTCAGTCAATCCAACATTTTGCCGCACGGCATGAATTGACATGAAAGTCATCACCGACAATTTGTCCCCAAATAGCATTAAACCACCAAAGTTGTTTTGCTTTTGAAGGAGATGGGGATTGTCATTGCTCATACTAATTGTCATTTGCATATTGCACACATGTTCCTCCCACCCATCCAACAGTTTGCTAACGAGGTTGATGATGTAGAGCTGAGCCAAACTAATTTGAGTGTGTGTCTGTGCACAGAGCTGCTGTAGGTGTTTGCAGATTGCCTACTCTGCTGCAGAGAGCAGAGTGAAGCTAATGTAGTATATGAATTGTCACAAAGATGTGGTTGTTATCTTGAATGAGACCATATCTTTTGTTTAATTGTTGTTTAAAAGATTTTATGAGTCTTGGAGTTTACATTTTGAGAGCTTTGCCAGACAGCAGATTGCTGAGTGAATACAGATTTAGCCTAATTTTTTGCCAGATTTCATGTGATGTCAGTCAGTGACCTTTACAAGCATTATGATGTATATCCCTCACTTGTTATTAACTCGTCTTTCTGTTTCTCCCTTTAATCCTTTAGTTTATCACTGTCACCCCACTCTCTTTGTTGGAATAAAGGGGTAATCTTCAGACTCCATCTGCCACTCTTGGCCAAAGCAAAACGCTGAATGTTTTTGGCCTGTCTCATGCTTTCCCTTCTCCTCCCCCACCCAGTGTTCTCTCTGTCTCCTCCGGATGTTTTTGGTGTCTGTGCTGCAAATCCACCCAAACCTTAAGAACCTGTCAGAATATGCAAAATCAGAGATGCGAGCCAAACTAAATAATAGTGTTGCCTATCAGCAGTGCATGACAAATTGTTTACAAGGCTACCCTGTTTTTATGCAGCTAGCAGCTTCAATAGCCAAAGTACTATTCTGAGTCATGACCTCAAACTGTGCTGTGCAGAAATGACAAAATCCCTCTCCCTCTCCTCTGCAGATCTGTGTACTCCTGTTTACATGCCTTTACATGGTGTCCTACCTCATCCTCACACACTTCAAGAAGACTGCTGAGTTTGTCACAGGTGAGATTTAACGTTCTTGGACAGGAATAAATGCTCTTCAATAATGCTGCTCTGTGGGAAAGCCTTCCTTCGAAGGTCTGTAGAAATTTGCCTGGAGGGGAACCGACACTGTTGACAGGCATACGGATTACATTGGTGTTTTGGAATTTTTCTCCACAAAGTATGTAGGTTGGACTTTTCAAGTAAACACAGGTGCTCTTCAGAAACGACCCATTTTATTAAGTAACAAAGTGATTGTCATGTTTGTTTGTTTTTTTTGAATTGTTATTATTTATATAGTTTGTGGGGATGAATGCAGGCAGTAACAACAATGTTTTTTCCTTATTTGCAGATTCCTCAGAAAGAATAACACTCAGACAAGCAATAACATAAATATTGCCAAGTTCACAAATACTTTTGTGAAGATAGTTATTTGCTGTAAATTTGTATTGCACTAAAAGTTGTATGCATCTTTGCATGTATGGGAAGATATCTCCCATGTTTGCATACATGTAGATATAACCTAAATTTGCACAATAGTAGGATAGCAAGGCTTTGGACCTTGACTGGATCAGCTCAGAGGTCCAGAAGGCATGTTTCGTAACATGTAACCACCTCTTCAGGCAGTATGCATATAGATCATGGAGGCGGAGGGGTGGTGAAGAATGTTTTAGGGTAAACAGAGTTGTAGCTTAGGGCCCCTCCACCTAGACAAACAACAGTGAGAAGAGCTTTTAGCAAGCACATAAAACTTATCATAAAACTGGGGTGCTGGATTTTGACAACATGAACATTGTAGAAAAGTCTGTTTTAGTCAAAAGAGTATCAACAATTAATAACTTTGTTGCCTTATAAGCCACCAGTTACATATGTGTCACAAATACAGCACATGTACTTGGATGTTTTGCATGTTCTCCAATATTAAAGCTAAAACATATTAAAAGTTCTGTATTGTTGCTGCGCTAAAAGTTACATAATAAATCCAATAACTTGCCATTATTGGAAGCAGATGTGGGCTGTCCAAATAACCAAGACTTTTTGCTTTGCTGTGGTTGGGCTGGAACCTGGTAGATGGCCAAGTCTCTCTCTTTTTTTTTTTTTTATTGGACAAGGGGAAACCTGCTATGTATTAGCCCACTGCTGTAAACCTGTGCATCAACAACAGCAGAACAGTTGTGCCCTGCAGACAAATGACAATTGTGAAATACCACTGTACAGAGTTGTTTTTGAGATTAAGAAGCAGAGAACTGGTTTTTGTTCCTTAGGCTGAACCTCATAATAAAACGGCTGCGACAACATTTGCATAGGAAGAAGATACAGTATCATGTACTGAGCCAAGTCCAGCTACTCATGGAGTCAATTTTAGAGGTCTGTTGGGCGTTGCATAATGTTAAACAGTTGTGTTTTCCTTTTTTTTTTTTTAGCTTTACAGTGTGTTTGAGATGTATAGCAGCATTAATGGATTGGGTCCCTTTGGCATTTCCAGTACTCCACTCTTAGCAGTTTTTTACCTGTGGGTTACTCAGTTTTACTAGCGTCTTGGCTTTGCTTGAACAGAATGTTCCAAACATGCTTGTCACATGCTCACTCCCCTCTCTGAGGCCAGCAAAATTTTTGCTTTTTTCATCCTGATGAACTCCTTCTATTACAGCTTTGCTCTACATACTTATACAGTAACACACACACACACATGGCTTTTACCTTTCCTATGACAACACAGACTCTATCTGATTGCACTCAGAATGATCTGTGCTTAAGCCTTCTTTAGTTATAAAAGGCAGATTACGTGAAAACTACTAAAAGGTGGTCATGTTCTTAAAACACGTAATCCTATTTGTTTCTCTACTCTGTTTCAGATGATATTGAAGATGCCACCGTCAACAAAATTGCGTAAGTGAAAATCTGTAATCATTAACTGGCCAACGGCAATCTGTTCTCACTTGATTTGAGTGTCACCCTGAATGGCTGAGCACGTTCTAAGTCAATGTGACATGTGTAGTGACCCAAGACCATTCGACTGTAGATTTATTGCCCTGTCTTCTGTGCGTTAATACGGCTGTTCGTTAGGACAGGGTGACTTCACTGTCACGCTGCCCTTTGTCCCTACACGCTGGCACTGTATTACCTTATTCACGGCCACTGTAGCCTTCCATCTTGGCTGCGTTGTTAGGCTGAGCCAAAACATGATCAGATAAGTGACTTGACTCATAGATTGTCTTTCTCCTTCTCCCAGGTTGTGGTTGTGTACATTCACCCTGTCTGTTGCGGTGTGTGCTGTGCTCCTTCTCCCCATCTCAATTCTGTCCAATGAGGTGCTGCTCACCTTCCCACACAGCTACTACATGCAGTGGCTCAATGGATCTCTTATCCACGGTACATATTACTGTTTTTTTTAAATTATTTATTATTTAACAACACCAAACAGTTAATATTCATAATTGCAACTGTATAAACTTTCCAAAAAACAGAATATGTTCCTGTTTAAAAAGGGAACAGATTAAATGAGGATCAGTGTCGAGGGCTTCCGAATCAATTCTATACAGGCCGGTTTCCAAACAGATAACGATTGTGGCTTGACTAGCTATGACCTTTCTGTGTGCCTTGTTTGGAATTTAAAAAAAAAGATTCAGCAGTTTATCAGCTGTTGCTGTTTACCTTAGTCACACTCTCCACTCTAGTTGAACAACAACGTTTTGTTTTGATGTTGAGTAAATAGGTTAGCTCAAAATATGTGGTCAGAGGCGTGTGATCATAACCTCAGCTTTTCACATATTAAATTCCTTTTTAATTGTAGCACATCCTGCATGTGACTCTAGCCAGTGTTTGTCATGCTTCGCTGTTTGGCAGAGTTATGCCTCACAGCGGTTGACAGAACTGGTACTGCCAAGATCTTTCGTCGCAGCTCTTAACACAAATGAATATGTGCACTTAAATACTAACATTTGGAAAATCTGTCTGTTTTCTGTTGGCAGGCTTGTGGAACCTAGTTTTTCTTTTCTCCAATTTGTCCCTGGTCTTTCTCATGCCCTTTGCCTATTTCTTCACGGAGTCTGAGGGATTTGCTGGGTCCAAAAAGGTAGCAGTTATGGCATTGGCTCAGAAATGACAGCTCTATATGTGGGTATTATTGTAGCAAAAACTATTTGTAAATGTATATGGAGAGTTGTGTGTCTGTATCCCAATCTGATTTTGAGATTGAGATTTGTCATTGTGTAAAAAGAATTGTCGATGTGTATAGAGATTTGTCAATGCGTACAAAGATCTGGAAATGCGTACAAAGATATTAATAGATAAAAAGTCTTAAGTCCAAGTATTTGGCTACAAGTGCTGGAAATACAGACAAATCACCCCTTACAAGTCAAGCGGACCTCACAATTGGCTCTTTTTACACATGACTTTCGCTACCCTTCCGCCATGAGAGATTCAGGGTTTCTGTGTCCTGAGCTCAGGCTCACTTGCTCGTTAATTCTGGTTGCGTGTCACTCTGCTGTTCTGTACCTCAGTAGTTATGTTGTCTGCTAGTCATCAGGTGGCGCTATCCCCTGGAGTCTTTGAGGGCACACGACATTGTCTGGTATATGTGAACAGATTAAATTTGCTGAGTTTGATGACATAGCATGCAGGTGGCATAATTACTGAGGTAAGGAGCAGCAAAGTGGTACGCAGCCAGAATGAATGAACCTGAGCTCAAGACAAAGAAACTCTTAAGTTACAGATACGAATCTCTCACGGCAGAAGTGTGGCACAAGTTATGTGTGAAAAGACAGCCTATTGTGAGGCCCGCTTGACTTGTAACTGGTGATTTGTCTGGATTTCCAGCACTTGTAGCCAAAGACTTGGACTTTTCATCTATGAATATCTTTGTACACATTGACAAACATTTTTACACATCGACAAATCTCACTACAGACACACAGAATGAGACACGGACACATAACTATTCATACACATTTACAAATAGTTTTGCTACAATAATACCCCCATAGCTCTAGATTTAAAACCTATTGAAAAGACTTAACTGTAAGTTGACAGCATCTGTATATGAACCCTCTGGTCACAGAACATCTGCTTTGGTTGTGTAGGGTGTAATGGCACGAGTGTATGAAGCTGTTGTGTTGCTGTTGTTGCTGGCTCTGCTTGTGCTGGGCATTGTGTGGGTGGCATCAGCTCTCCTCCATGACAACATAGCCCGGAAGAGCCTCTATGGTGAGTCACTTGCATTATATCCATAGATTCCTCAGTGACAGGTGGTTTTTTTTGCAGTTTTTCATATAGTTGCTTATGCTCTCTTCCTCTGAATTTCAGACCTGTGGGAGTATTACCTTCCTTACCTGTACTCAGGCATCTCTCTGTTTGGAGTGCTGCTGCTTTTGTGTAAGTATATCTAAATCACAGTTACTGGAGTAACTTCAAAGTGTTTTGAGTGACTGTTGCAAATCATCATCTGTGTGTTCCTCTGCAGTGTGCACTCCCTTTGGGTTGTCCCGAATGTTCAGTGTAACAGGCAGCCTGCTGGTCAAACCACGGGTGAGTCACAGACTTGATGTCTAGAATTAAAAAAACAAGACTGAATGTCTACAGTCATGCTAGCAGCTCTGTCAGGCTGTATATAGCCACAGCTTTGTTTTGGGCTAAATGCTAACATAGGCCATCTTTACAATCCACACAACATACTGATCCTAAGCCAGTTTTTAACTTGTAGTATGTCCACACCAGAATATTGACCAAATGAAGCATACTGAAAGCAAACAGTATGCATACTAAATGTGGTTGGTTTTGGAGGGCGCTGTTGATGCATGCTCCCATTGCAGTGCACAGAGGAAATGGATTGGCGACTCGCAGCTTGAAAAACAAAATATATTGTGCTTTGTGTCCTAAGCCATGGATCTTGGGAAAAGAGTTTTGATGTCTCTTTGTGAGGTTTATTTGCCACCAACTTTCTGAATTCTCTTTTAAATATTATAAATGTGTATTTTACTAACAACTAAATGCACACACTGCATAGAATTAGTATGTTGTATTTCTGTTAGACACAGCTATTGCTTAGCATGTTAGCTTGCTGACGTTTAGTAATTAGCACTGAGGATAAGAATGTCATAAATATTTAGTCATGCCAAACTGTTAGACAACTTAAATTTGTGACCTTATTATGAACGTTATTGACATATTTCTTTTAAAACCACAGTTTAGAGGTCACGTTGGTGTTGGAGGGAAAGTCAGGGGATTAACAAAATCTGTAGGATTCATCCTCTGAGTACAAATTTTCATGTAACAGTTGTGATATTTTAATCTGCACTTAAGTAGTTGACAGATTGAGAGACTGACGTTGCCATCCCCAGAGCTGCAGGCATTCCTAAAAATGGCCACCTCAAATAAAGTAGCCACTGCATTAGCAGTCAGTTGTCTTGTGGCTGTGAATTGTGATTTCCTAATTGGCTGACTTATCGATCCTCTTCAGCTGCTGGAAGATGTAGAAGATACACTGTGCTGCACTGTATTCGAGGAAGACTCACTCTCCAGGAAACTCAACTGTAAGTTAGGTTGCCCGTGATCACTCTCCTTTGCATTTCCTAGTGATTGAATTTAAAGATGACTGACGTTTTGTTTGTCTGATGGAAGGTGGCAGTACGTCATGCTGGGTCAAGCTGGACATGGAGGCTATGAAAAAAGATTACCAAGCTGTCCGCAGCAAGCGTGTCGCTCTGGGTAAGACTGACAAAAACAGGCTTTTCTCCAACAGTGGCTACAGTGTGTGATATTTAGTTGCTGTACACTCATTTGTTATTGTTGCTTTTCTCTCTCTTTTTTTTTTCTTCCTTTTTTTCTTATTCTCCCCATAGAGATGCGTAGGAAGGCGTCCCCATGGCAGCGAAACCTGGGCTACCCACTGGCAATGCTTATGCTCCTCGCGCTTACGGTAGGTGCACAATTATTTAATATAAGCACAAATTCTGCTTTACTTTTGAATAATTGACAAATAAGTGTAATTGTTTTTGCAACTGCTGTTTGTGTGTCTTCAGGTGATGTGTGTACTGATGGTGTGTTTCAACGTGTTGGAGTTGCTGCTGGATGAGACGGCGATGCCCAGAGGAATGGAGGTGAAGATTCCGCCAAAAAATTCTAAACAGTTCATGTTTAGTGTGCAACAGTTAACCATCTGTGTACACTGATGATTGTTATTTTTGCATATTGTAGGATCCACACCTGGGGATGGCCTCCTTCTCTATGTTCGGCTCACTGGGTGCTGCAGTTCAAGTCGTCCTTATCCTGTATCCTTTACCCCATTAACTTAACATGACTGCACACAGTGTAGACTGGCTACGTCCGTTTTGCTCTGACTCAGCCACTTGCAGTATTTGCGTCAGTATGTGTGATGTTGACTCATTCAGTCACATTCATACATTAAAGCACATTCCGATGTACTTTCTGGATGTTATGATACCATCTGTGAGAGTCTTATTACTCCTCTTTCTGCTGTTGTCCTTAATAAAATTAATTTCAGCTACCTAATGGTGGCGTCAGTGGTGGGTTTCTATAGTTCTCCTCTCTTCACTGGCCTCATGCCTCGTGCACGAGACACCAACCTCACACAGGTATCTGCATCTGCCCTATCTCTCATCAAAATATAACCCAAAACTGGTGATACCTTATGTTTACTCAAGATCTAAGAATCTAAACTTGTTTTTTTGTTTGTGTGTGTGTTTTTTTTCAGATGATTGCAAACTGTGTTTCACTGCTCATCCTGAGCTCTGCACTGCCAGTCTTTTCACGCACACTTGGTGAGTATTTAGCATAACTGGTAAATGTGTTCATCAGAGGCTACAGACATGACCCAATTCTTTACTACACACTAATTCTATGCAGGCTTTTAGTATGTATTTTGCTCGCTGTGACTATGCTATAAAAATCAGGATGCTTACCAGAAATGCTGTGAATGTAAACATTAAAAACAATTATAAAATCTTTGGAAAACCAGTCTTGTTCTCTCTCCTTGACATAGATTTTAATAAAGACAAAAAGAGTATACTTTGACAACTGGTGTATAGCACATAATGTTTACAGTTACTTTGTATGTGACATTTTGACAGAGCTTCTATGAAATGTTAGTTGCTGAATCAACAACTTACTTGTAGTTTTAATAATGCCCACAAGAGGGCATTTGTATGCCATAAATACTGCACCTGTAGGCAAATCCAGGCCTGAGCAGTTCATTCACAAGTGGAACAATTTCTCGTGCTTCTGTTCCATTGTGTCAGGTATCACCCGCTTCGATCTACTGGGAGACTTTGGTCGGTATAACTGGCTCGGGAACTTCTACATTGTCTTTCTGTACAACATGCTGTTTGCTGGTCTCACCTCAGCCTCCCTGATAAAGACAGTCACCTGGGCAGTACAGAGAGAGCTCATCCGTGCCTTTGGTCAGTCTACTTTCATTTTATATTTATGAAGTAAGGTCAAGTAATTTGTATGCATATATTTTTTTCTGTCTTTGGGACTGTACTGGGCTGAAATGCTTTGCACTTGGATAGCTATGTCATAAGTTTCCCCACCTTTGGCCCCATTTCCCTATGGGCTGGTCTCTCTTCCTCAGATAGAAAGAATACAATTCCTTCAGGAAATTGTAAAGGGACAAGAGGAGAGTCAGGTCCCCTTGGGGACCTTCAGGCACACCGCCCTAGACCCCTCGCAGCACACACACCCTCTAAACCTCCACCCAACACAAACAAGCCCTTGGAGCATGGGCACGCCAAACACACACATACACGCAATCCCCTTCCTCACAGTGCAGATAGCATCTCAGCACCATGGCAGCTCTCCTGCACTTTCCCATTACCTCCCAACTTACTTTTGTTCTGTGATTAATAGACTTTCACTTCATCTAAATCACAGTTTTTCCTAGCTTTGCAAATTTAGAGCTCCACCTTGTGATTGTGCGTAATGTTATGCTCTGCTTTTTCTTCTTCTTCTTTTTGCAGGTCTGCACAGACTGCCTTTAACTGTGTCACGCTCCACCGTCCCCTTCAGACTCCTCCTGGCCAGTGGACTGTCTAAAATCCAGTGATTTATTTTTTTTCCCCTCCTCACCACTGCCATTCCTGGCCTTTATAAACTGAGCCACCTTAAATGTGCACCTGTCGGATTAAAGACATTTCCAATTCAGTCCCTTTGCCAGTTGGTACATGGGTCAGGTCGCCCCGTGTGAAGAGATCTGAGGAGAGTCCGTCTGCACTGTGTCCAGTGGGACCACTGCTTGATGCTGTGTTTAATGACCAATATATCAGGGTCCAAGTTTGTGCCGCTATGTGACTGCAAAGGCGAGTGCTGGTACAAGCGGTTAGCTGAGTCATGGGTATGACTGGAACAAGGGGAAAAGGGATTTAAGCCATATTGGCAGTTCTGCCATTGTGAACAATAACAGAGCAATCTCCCTGCAAACCTGACGCCTTATACAAAGAGGATTCTTGGGTAACTGTTGCTCTGTTGACACATGTAAAAGTCAGCAGAGTTATTTTGAAATATCACATTGTAACTGTGACTTAACTTCCTCTTCCTCCTTCAGGTCGATAGAGTGCTCTCTCTTTCTTTGTGGCTTCCCCACGCTTTCCTCTTAGCTGTACCACTATTTTAAGATTGGGAATCTTCTACTTCCGTGTGTTTGGAGGTCCAGTCTGCACCAGTGTTATGTTAGTTAAAAAGGGGAAGTTGTTATTGGGAGCAAATGAGACACAGAGAAGCCATTGTGGCTATCTGTGGATTTGCAGGTTACACAGGGAATATAAGTTAGAAATAACAGTCTCAGTGTTGAAACCCTTTTACAAACTCAGTTTACTAGTAGAATTGTCTGTGGTTTACTTTTTTAGACGACAGTAAGCTTGCTCAGTGTGAGGACTACTTATTTACAGAATCAAAAAATAGAAAGCTTTACACTTTTTATGCAAGACCTTTGAATGCCATGTGACACTCACTCGGAGGAGCTTCTGCCTTACACCAATCAAACTGTGAATCATTAAGAATTTGTGTGGGGAAAGTGCAATATCTTAAAAGTAAAAGCACACTTTTTTAACTTTACCAAAAGTCATTTTTGAATTTTCCATATCTTTTCTATTAATTTTCCTGACAAGTTTTTTTTTTTTCTTTCCATCTCATTCTTTTGTGTTGGACATGAGGGTGAATACTTTGAACAATTTCAGAATATTTAGACATTAAAAAAAAGTGACTGTCAGGCCTTGCAGTCTTAACCAGTATCCGTTTCTACATGTAATTATCTTATCACACAGTTTTGTGATGGTGATCCTGTGTCACCATTTGCTTTTGCTGCTGTATCAGCAGGTTATTTACTGTTGGTTTGACCAGCAGGGGACAGTATCTCTCTCTCTCTCTTTCTTTCTGTCTCTCTCTCTCTCTCTCTCTCTCTCTCTCTCTCTCTCTGTGGTTAGTTATTATATGTATTATATATGGAGCACCCTGAGGTTTACTCATTTCTGGGAATGTTCTTTTAGATGTTTGAAACATTTATTTGCATTTATATCATTATTTATGGGCATTGTGGGATCCATACTTCACATTTTGATTCAGTACTCATAGAACCTTTGAACAGTTAAACGTGTTGAATGTGATATATCTGTGACAAAAAAAAATCTTTATAGTTGTTCTCAGAGACAAAAGAAAAAAAAAATAATGGTGGCATTGTTTACTTCTGAAATGCTGTGATGTTTCAGATTTTGTTAAAAATGATTTTTTTTTTTTTTTAACCATCATTTCACTGTTTTTATGAGCAGAAAGTAATAAAGATGTCTTGTGTTTTTAACTTCTTTGTGTCCTTTTGGGTGCATATCAAGGTGACTCTTACTGTAAACCGTTTCTTTGATGCTGTTACATTTTTATGAAATGTAGCAACGCTGAGCAATCTGATGTGGGTGGGTGGGTGTGTGTGACTGGCAAGGGCATCTGTCCTCTACGTCCCCCCACCCTTTTGCTGCACTTCTTTAATCAGCAGCAGAAGAAAGCCATATTTTGGACTGTCTGTCAGCGGTGTCCACCCACGACGCCACTACAGCCGTGGCCCACGCTTTCCCCACTCCGATGCAAATGCCAGATAAAAACAACCCTGCAAATCAGTACAAGTGACATTCACTCACACTCACTCCTTCACATCCCCACCACCCACCTCCTTTCTTCCATTCCTTTTCCTTGCCTATTGTTCATTTCCCCTCCGCATTTTTTCTTAAGTCAGTTGAAGAAAACCCCAACACTGATTAATTTCTCCCTCTTGATTTTTGTTTGCATTTCTTGTTTTGTTTTGTTGGATGTTTTAATTAAGCTTATTTGGTTTAGGTTTTGTTTTGCACTGGGCTTCCTTTGCTAAAAGGAAATGAACTCCAATGTCGCCGTAACATTACTTGCACATCTGGAGGCTGGTTACCCTCTAAGGAAGTCCCACATAAGCCAGATACAAGGTGTGTGTGTGTGAGAGAGAGAAAGAAAGTGCATTACCTAAGAGTCTTGAAAGAAAGAAGTTTGAACAAACCCAGACTGATGCTGCAACTGAGAGGTGAGGATTTCGAGGGCCAAAAATAATTCAAGAATTCAATCAAATGTAGTTTAATCGTTGTCAGTCAGTGTTGAGGTTATTACTGGAGAAAAAAGTGAATCTATCATACATATTACTTTAAAAAAAAGTAATTGATTACTTATTTACTCCCTGTAGACAGTAATTCATCACACTACACGTTACTTGTGCTTTACTCCACAACATCCCCAGTTAACAATAAAACATTAAACCATACACATGCCCACATATCAGCACAAATACCTACAAACCCCAAACTGCTGCCTTTGTAGAACTATTTTTATTATCTATCTATTTGTTCATACATATATTTATTACAGATCTTTTTTATCGTATGCACTCAATCCCTTTTGTATTTTTTTTAAACTGTTGCTGAGAGCATCATGCAACAAAATTTCGTTCTAGTGTTTTTTATGCATGTTTGCTGGAATGACAAAGTTATCCATCTATTGCAATAAAGAGGACATACATCGCATCTTTCTTTAAAAGGTTTTACCACAAAACTAAAAGCAAAGACGGTGAAAACCAGCACAAAGAGCACAGTTGTAAGAAGAAGCCTCAGTTGCATGTCTAAGAAAATAAAGGTGGCACTGACAGTAGGCTGTATCTGATTAGTGACTCTAATGTTAATTTAGGGACAGTTATGCATCACATTACTGCATTACAGACAAAGGTAATGTGATTACACTGATGCATTACACGGTAGAGCATTACTCCCAAGACTGGTGCCAGAACACTAAGCCTATTGCCCACTCTCCGTGCTACTGAAAGTCAATCTAGACAGCACGCCATGTTACACTTTGGAGAGACGGTACACAATTTGTGCCAGCTTTTTTTTTTTTTTTTGCTTTTTAGAGAACAACTACAGTCAACTGGATGCAATTTTTTCCTCTACCAAGGAACACTGTGCACACATGCTGCATGAAACACCCCCCACGTATCACTCTTAACCTTGGATTTAGTTGGTGAAACACTGAGATAGCACCTTTCCCTGCAGCAAAAAGTAAAGGTCGATAGCAGCGCAATCAGTTGTCCCATTGGGTTGCACACTCTATAGGACTAGATGTCGGGCATATCGGGGACAAGGCGGGAAGCGGGCAGCTTGTAATGGGATGAGATAGGCTATCTTTATTGTCAAAACATAAGAATGAAGGGGGGAAAAAGACACAGATTAGCTTTCCTGACAGTCGGCCGTTTGAAGTTTGTGCCAAAGTGCATTAAGGGCTGTTATTCCCTCTTTTCTACGCTTGCAAATGCAGAATCACTCAGGAAAAGGCGAGACTTGCTCGCTAATCAACTGATAATGGGCCACACTGTCCGCTTGCCATAGCTGCCCGCCATCCTGTGTGCACACTCACGGCACACTTGCTTCACACAGTCGACTGGCGCGGGCCTTTGTTTCGTTGGGTAACTCTTGGATGAGCGGGGTGACACGGAACGTCAGGGAAAAACACCATGAAATCACAATTTAATTCAGTTTCTCCAACATAATGTAATCTATACAATGCTAATTATTTTTTTCGATCAGGTTTAGAAAACAAGGTTTCGCATCATATCTGTCCTTTGACCTGCTTGTCTACAGCCAGGAAGTTCCACCCTTCTCAGTCTATTGTCCACTTTGGTGCAGCATCGCCTCAACGTCAGCTCACCGGTGCTCTCTTTCGTAGGCCACGTCAAGAGCAGAAGCAATAGCACACTTAACCACGGAGACAACATATTTATGTATTGTGAGATGCTGTACTCCTGAATTCAACACATGAAGGGATCGATGTCTTTAAACCCCCAAACTACGATACAAAAGCCAAGAATCATCCAGTGTTCGGAGCCACATCAGAACGCACCACCCTGCCTCTTCCTGCGCTGATAACACACCGAGAGACAGTCGAGTGGGCAGTGCAGCATCAGGCGAAGAGAAAAGGACGAGTGTGTGTGTTTGAGAGAGGGGAGGGAGGTGGTTAGGTGTCAGTTCCTTGACTTTCCTTTCTCCCCCTCAACCCTTGTAACGGCCTCCATCTGAGGAAGCGGATCCTGCAGAGTGTCTATTCAGCTCGAAGAGACAAGACAAACACTTGAAATGTCCAAGCCAGCATTGTTTAACTTCTCTTTTACAATCAACTCATCACAAAAAAATTGCAACTTGCGATCCTTGGCTGCCAGTTATTAGTGTTCACTGACAAATACCCACACGGTGTAAATCCTAACTTGCAGCTGTATTTGACCAGCAGCTCAGGTGCAAGCACAGGCGTCCACTTGGAAAGAACAAAGCAGAGTAGGCTAACCCAAGCAGGAAAGATCTCGTTTTCTGTGCTGTGGCTTTGCAGGAAACTAAACCATTCACCCAGCCATGTACTCCCATCCTGAAATGGGGGAGTGAAATGCTAAGAGCCAGAAGGAGGCAGAGGGAGGCAGGAGGATGGGGGGGGCACCAAAATAAAAACTAATAATAATGACTTTATTTCCATCTCCAGCCCACAGATGTTTGCTTCCTTCCTTTCCCTTTCATGTCCGATGAAATCTTTTTTTTCTCGCACGGCTTTGAGGAGAAACATCGGTGTGGGTAATTGTAGATATGAAAGTGTTTGTTACTTTTTTTGATTGAGTCATTCCCTGCATTTGTTAGGAGGGCCGATATCTTTCATCTGCGTCGCTCGGGCCAGACTTCAGCCTTCCTCCGTGTTTATCATAAGGACAGGAAGATGCAGCTTCGCCTTGCCACCCCTCCCTACAACATCCTGGGATCATCTGGAAACTTCCCCTACAAGGTTGCTTTTCCATGGTCAGTGCGGAGCTCAGTGACCTGTGCTCCATCGCCGCACAAAGGAAAATGTTCAGGCACAGACGAAGAACTTCACTTTTCGAATTCCATTTAATCTTCAGTATTCTCCAAAGTACTGCTGTGAGTTCCTCAGAAACAAAGCCTCCGTCAAGAAAGCGCTCTATGATGCATCGAGTCCTCGAGTGTTCCAGGAAGCTTGAGATAGGACGGTGACACGCTCTCACCTTTAACCCCTCCATTAATTTAAGCTTCCGCCTGTGATTACAGATGTCGCACCCTCAAGACACAATGATTACTCTCTTCTCTGCGCCCTCTCCGGCATTATCTGACACATTTTTACGATTCTCCCAGCTATTGTTCTGAGAGGGATAAAAATAATAAGTTGATGATGTGGCCAGGCGGGTGTTTCCAGCGAGGAGGTCTTGGGTGCACTGGGTTCAGTGGGGGTCAGGCGGTGCTCCCCAAACACAGGAAGGCAGCACTGTAAGTCATAGTCAGGGGGTGTCAAGGCTCCCTTCTGGGTTCCTCACCTTCAACTATGTCTATTAATAACTCCAGCAGAGTGGGACTGAGGGGTGGGATGAGCACACAGAAGCAAGGGGATGTTGGTTCAAAGCAACTGGGGGCTGTATCTGAACTTAAATAGTCTGTATATGCTCAGTATGACTCATAATTCCTATTGCAGGTTTAAAAATTCTATATATTTTTTTTAAAGAATATTTGATTATTTGTTGAGCATTCATTGGGAAAGCTGCCCAAACTCGAAGTATTTTTATTATCTTAAAATATTTAATGAGTTGGAGGGGGTCTGGGTCATTGTGTGAACATAATTAGAGTAATCATGTGTCCTTTGTATGGCTGAATTGGAGGCGTGTGCTGAAGCGGTGGGAGCGCGCAGAGGAAGGGAGGGCAATCTTGTCCGGACGCTAATAAGACCCAATGGCTGGCGCAAGGTGGCCAGGAGCGCTGGAACGCGACAGAAGACGGTGGACCAAGGAGAGAAGGAGGAAAAAAAACAACAACAACAACCCGTCTCTCTCTCTCTTAACAGACGCGTTTTTCTTGGATGGACAAAGAGGATGAGAGCGCAATAGGAATCCAAGAGAGACAGCAGGAATCCGTGGAGCTTTAGGTGCGCGTCAGTTTGTGTGTCTCGTCAAAGGGGGAAGCTGCGTGGAGAGAGAGAGAGAGAGAGAGAGAGAGAAGCGGTAAGAGAGAGACTTCAAAACACCTGCGTCAGGACAGGTAACGTTGGAGGACGTGTCAAGATGACTTTCAGCTCACAAGAGACCTAGAAGCAGCTGGTGTTTGGTGAAATAGCTGCTCAAAAGATTTCTTATTTGATGCCAAACTTCCAGACTTCCACCAATCAGATCACTCCTTGTGCTTTTGCTCATAGAATCTTTTTTTTTTTTTTTTTTTAAACTGAGTCAGATTATCTGTTTTTGTACTTTTTAAGCTTCTTTTCTGATCAAGACAGTAAGAAAGAACTACCTGCATTTCCCAACACCTTCTTGTAATTACTATCAGCGCCAGTAATCCATGATTTGGAATGGACCCACATTTGACCCTCATTCACTTGCTGTCACACACCTGGAGCTGGGTTGTTGCTGTAGGCGCTGTGAGCCGCTGACTCCCGGGAGCCCCAACCCTCCCCAATGAAGCAGTCCTGGTGGGCCCGCCTGGCACAGCTCGGCCTGCTTGCCGTGTGGACGTGCATATGGCTGGTCCAGGGATGTGGGCCGGGCCCCGGGTACGGCATCCGTCCCAGGCCCAGGAAGCTCACAGCCATGCACTACAAGCAGTTCTTCCCCAACTTCTCAGAAAACAACCTCGGGGCCAGCGGGAGAGCAGAAGGCAAGATCACACGCAACTCTGAGCGCTTCAACGAGCTGGTGTGCAACTACAACCCAGACATTGTGTTCAAAGATGAGGAGAACACCAACGCTGACCGCTTCATGACCAAGGTGAGGTTGTGGTTAAGCATGCTGGGATGTCTTAGATTTTAAGGATGTTGTTGGGTGTTTGACACACACACTGTTGTTGCTGAGTGCAAATACAAGAAATGAGCAAACAGGTCAGACAACCAGCTGAGGGATGCTGAGACTCGTGAGTCTTGATCCTACAAAATCCCTCTGTTGGATGACTGATCAACTACATAAACACAAAGGTGCAGACAGCAGTTTGCACTCTGCCACGGCAGCATGGCACCTTCAAATCAGATCACGCAATCTCGCTCATTGTTTACTGTTCTCTACACTACCTGCCCTTGCCGGGCTCCTAACTGACAAATGTTCAACACAGACGGTGTAAGTTTTAACCAAACATTCCCTCCCCTTTTTTCAGTGATAAGACGATCAGGATGTAATTCAACACTACCCTTAAGAGGCCGAGTTCCCCTTCAGGAACAATTCCTTTTAATCTTTAACCAAAGTCTTTGTTATTGGAATTAAACTGATACCTATGGCAGGTTCCCAGTGTGCCTACCAGAGAAAATGTCCAGACATGGCACCTAAAATTGAATTTCTGATTGTTTACTCGGGACCTATAGCTAAATTCACAAAAGACAAATCGGTGAGGTAGAGCTTATAAGATCTAGGCAGCGAGATGAACAACTTTTGAGCAAAAACATTTTGAATGCCCCACTGGACACTCAGAGAACGCTCTGTTTCGGATGCTGTGGCCTGCTGTGATTGTTTCGGATATGAATCTGTGTTCCTTCCCCTCCCAGAGTGATTGTATGTGATGGAAACTTGTGGTTGTATATGTGTGCCCTTCTGATACCCAGTTTGAGTGTGTCTATGTGTCCATGTGCCCCCTTTTTTTTTGCCCAGATGTGAAAGATGCTCTTTGTGCGTCATTCGGAGGCTCAGAGGGGTCGCCTATACAAAATTCCCGCCTGCTGAAGTAATGGCACCGTCGGAAAAGCGACTATTGTAGTTGTGACAATGAAACGCCTCTCTTCAATGGCATTGCGAGAGAAATCTACCCTGTTTGTTTTCTGTCCCTCTCTCTTTCTCACTCTTGCTGTCACATTCCCAAGTCCGTGCCCATACATTCTTCCCCTCTGCCCTCTCTCTTTGAGTCCCAGCCTCGGCTCTGCGCGACACTGCTTTCTTCTCACCCAACTCCACATCGCTTTCTGTCTCAGCTCTTTCTTTTTCCTTTTTCCGACTGCAAAATCAGCGTTGTTCGGTTAATTCTGCGCCGCGAGACCTGCCACATCACACAAGTCACAAGCAAACACGCTTTCAGGAGATGATAATGAGTGTATCACCTCGGATGCCGACGTCATCGTTTCTTCTGAATGCTATTTTGCGACAATGCTGACACAGTCTGTAACATTATGGCCCACGGGGGTGTTAAGAGTCACTGTGCACATATTTGATCAAATGTCTCAGGGGTGAAACCGAGAAACTCAAGCCTGGAACAATCTGGAAAGGCAGAGAATGGCCTTGATTATTCTGTCACCCTGTTGAAAAGGCCAAGGAATGTGCCAAACTGGCTACAGTAGGTTTGTTCTTGTACTCTGATTGTTTGAGCAAGGTTGAGATGGCCTTTAGCAGAGTAAAGGAGGAATTGTGTGATGATGCCAGCAGACAAACAATCATAACCTGGGAGCCAGAGACAGAGTGCTGAAATGCTGGGCTCATTTTCTGCTTAGCGCGGAAATCACTCCATGCGTCAGTGCCGACTCGCAACCTTCTGTGTTCATAGGTAGTGCCACTGCTGCAGTTAATAAAGGATTACAAATTATCTGTCACTTGTAGCTGGGTTTGGTTCAGATACTGTACATGCTGCAGAATGAATGATTAAAAGTAGTACATAAACTGAGAACTCAATGAAAAAAATGCGTCAAAACATACAAACAAAAATCTTTAGTGTTCGGTATTATTTACAGCTGAAAACCAACCAACCACGCAACTCAATCCTGCCTTTATATCTATATAGGAATGACAGTTTAAAAAAGGAGCGAATGACTCAGAAATGCACATCCATACATCTTCACACAGTGATCCACACATAAAGGCTGCTGTTAGTCATACCTTTTTTTTTTTTTAAACTGAAAATGGTTGTGCTTCCATCAATATCACATAATTGTGACTTTTTTTGAGTCTATATCCATTATGACTCTTTTCAAATCCTTTGTGTCTTTCTAGGTTTAGCTTTTGATTAAAAGAAAAAAAAAAACAACATCTTAAAATATACTTAAAGGCTAAATGACTGTTTACTACTTCAGTGAAAGTGATTTGTTAGACTGTCTTTGTATGTTGTTTTACTTAATGATGCTGATGCCAATATGGGAATTGTAGAATTTAAAAATCTGTTAATAATTTACGATATAAAGCCGGTGTATTTCTATACTGCAAATCCTTGTTTGTTATAGGCTGACACATGTGCTGATATTTACACGTCTGTAATAAGCTACTATTGTCCAATATACCAGCCGTTTTATTAGTTAATGCTGCTTGAAACCAAACCCCCTCCTCTGCCTCGTTTGTTCCCAGAGATGTAAGGACTGTTTGAATCGGTTGGCGATCGCAGTGATGAACCAGTGGCCGGGGGTGCACTTACGTGTGACCGAGGCCTGGGATGAGGACGGTCACCACCCTCCTGGCTCTCTGCACTACGAGGGCCGCGCAGTGGATATAACCACCGATGACAGAGAAACTGAGAAGTACGGTCTCCTGGCCCAGCTGGCTGTGGAGGCAGGCTTCGACTGGGTCCACTACGAGTCCAAATATCACATCCACTGCTCAGTAAAAGCTGGTAAGTTCAAGCAGGGAGCTCTCATACACGATCATGTGTCAAATTACATCGCTTCACTGTATTATGTGTTTATCAGGGTAAAAAAAAAGGAACATAATCTGTACAGTCATCTTGGCTCTTTCTGCTGATCTTTCTGCAGATCATTCTGTTGCTGTGGAAAAAGGTGGCTGTTTCCCAGGCTGGGCCCGGGTGACTGTTGCTGGAGGGAGGCAGAAGAGTCTGTCGTCACTGGCTCCTGGGGACAGAGTCATGGCCCTGTCTGGGACAGGCCAAGTCGTGTATAGTCAAGTTCTCTTGTTTCTGCACCGGGACCAAGAAAGATGGTCTTCTTTTCTGTCTCTGGAGACAGAAGACGGCCATAGATTGGCCCTCACTCCGCATCACTTGGTGTTTTTATCTCCCGACTGCAGACGTGACAGCAGAGAGTACCAGGCTCAGTTTGCCAGCAGAGCCAAGGCAGGAGACTGTGTTCTCATCCATACAGCAGGGGGTCAAACGCGTCCATCTCCAATCATCTCCATTTCAGTAGCAGAGAGTGTGGGAGTTTATGCGCCCTTGACAGAAGCTGGAACTTTGTTCGTTGATGGCGTGCTGGCGTCCAGCTATGCACTGTTGGAGGACCACAGACTTGCACACTGGGCATTTGGACCTGTGCGACTCCTCTCCTCGCTCAGCCAGCTCCTTTGGGAGGAGACAGCAAAAGGACACCAGACCACTGACAGTGAAAAAGCTTGCACTAAGACTCCAATGTGTTGTAGTAGTTTGTCCACACAGGACAAAGCAATTGTATATGTAAATAATGGCATTCTGAGCAAACAAAACAATCTGAGTGACCCTATGAGGATGGAAATGAAAGAGAAGCACTCCTTGCAAAGACCGATGTCACACGTGCACTGGTATGCTCGATTACTGTACAGCTTTGGATGCATCTTTTTAGACTCCAACTCATTTCATCCCTAAAAGCCTAAAAATATAGATACAGTACATGTCCTACTCCAGCTTTCATCCATTTACACTAACAGCTCATGTTCTTTTCTCACATTAAAAACACTGGAATGGCTTGCTTGCTTTTCTCACTATTGTTTCTATAATAATCATCATGACATACAGTCTAACACTGTGGTGATACTTACTCATAATGAGACCTTTTTCTGACCAGGTAAATGTATAAATGGTGATACCAAAACCACTGTATCATAGTCTGTCTGTACATCTGTTATTTCTTTATTTCAGTTATATATGTGGAAATATATATTATTCTAATGGGATAGGAATGGATTCCCTGAACAATAGAATCTTTATTTTTGTACTTTCTGAATCATAATATATAAATGTTTCATTTTATTATAATAATTCTATTACTGGTATTGTACGCCCTACTTGTTGTTATGACATAAAACAAATTAAAATGTAATTTTGTGAAGCATCACTCTTTTTTTTCTTCAGCTCTGGAGTAAAGTCATCCCTTTAAGCTGCTTTATAATTTGTCAAAATGAGTTGCTTTGCATTAAAAAAAACAAAAAAACCCAGATATATGGCAAATGCAGAGGATAGTTTCCAGGGCTTGCGGTTGAGCTTTATGTATGTTGCAGTGTGCAGCCGTGTGCAGTGGAAATGTAGTCTAACAGGCTGACAGGTTAATGAAAAGCCCAGACGTACTTAATATTCCCCACACTGTGCCACCACTTTGACTTTATCAGAGTCGCAGATTGTGATAAACACTTCAAGGGCTACTTCAAGGCAGTTCTCGGGTTTCTTATAATCTTAGAGGAGACTGTTTTATTGGTATGCATTGCTGCAGTTTGGGTTTGACTGTGTTGAACTTCTATTTTGTTACATCTCATCTATTGACCAAAAGATATAAAATACACTCTAAGTTGCTCCAAAGGCAGGTTACCTGTTGTATTTTAAACATGCTTCAAGTAAAACAGCTTTTTAAAGGTTGATGACAGAGCATAAGGCTGTTTTCGGGAGTGTGAGGTTATACACCCCCTTGTGGAGGAATTGGTATTATACTACACCTGTGAATCCTTTTAAAAAATGTTCTCATACATACAGTAACTTCTCTAAATACTGCATCCTTATTTAATTTATAATATCAATTATATATGGGAGACTTAGTAGTACCTATACATATATATATACAGATTTTTTTTTAACAACCATCTACATACAAAAGGATGTTATTCATTTGTAATTTGTCAAAGAATGCATTTCTACAGCACTGACTGTACAGTAAGTATTCATGTGGTGTACTCTGCACTATACTATCAGTACGATGAGCTCAAAATCAAACTGTGCTATAAAAGTAGCATACGTTGCATTATTATTATTATTACTATTAATATTTTACTGGCGCTGTTTAATCTATATTTAAAAAAATGCACAGGAGCCAAAACATATTCTGTTCTTCCACTTTATGTTCTGTTGGAAACATCTGTGAAGGTATTCCAGGGGATTATCCTTGAGATATAGGAGGCAGATGGGAAAGCACCCAGTTCACCGACTGACCAATAGGAGCGGCCCGGTGTCCTAATACCACCCTCTATTTACATCCATCGTCCAATCAGTCACCGTCTTCCCGTCAGTCTCAGCCCCCTAAAATCTAATCCAATTTTACTAAAGCTGAATGGGGAGTTAACTAATCCTGTCAGGGGGATCAATAATAACCTATTTTCAAAATGGAAACATGTATATCGCTCATTCAAGTCACTGAGAAATTCAAACATTAGCTGAGCCAATATTTCTGTTTGTGATAGGAACCAGTGTCATCAGACTCAAACAATGGTGACATAACTTTGATGACAATATTATTTGTGTATGCAAACATCTCCTTACTTGTGTACACAAATGGATCCATTAGCTATGAAAAGACTGATTGTGTTTGTTGTAGCCTTAAACCAGATTGTTTGGGTGTATGTTTGTTATCTTTTAAAAGACACCGCAAAACCTTCATTACAATCAAAACATTTTGCATTTCTGATCACCTTCAGAAAACTATTCTTCATGTAGCTGCATTCAGTGCATTCACCTTTTCCCCCTTCAGTGCTCTCATGTAAGAATAAAGTGCACAGTGTAAATGCCTCGACACTTAATACATTTCTCAATACAACATCAAGGTCAGATCCCCTGCAGCAGGTTCCTGTTCATTATCCAAAGATCACAAAATGTATCATGAGCAGATAGCGTACTACACTGTGTGCTCATCTACAGGTAATAAAAGTGAAGCATTCATGTAAAATCACCCACATTAACTTCACATCTGGGACATTTAGCGCCTGCTCTCCTGTAGAGTTGTTGAGTTATAGCTTAAGTAAGCTGTGAACCTGTAACATGTGAGCATTTTGCTTGAAGGCATGACTGGTGATATACAGTACATGATGTGGATTAAACCTGTGACGTTCTCACAATGGGGCAGACAGCTACCCAACCTAATTTTCTCTTAGTTCACAGGATCATCTCAATGACATCTGAGCTTTACTTGCATGTACGACAACGTGGGCTCACGAAAGGATGGCACAGGGTTCTCAATGTCTTGATTTAACTAGAACTATACAAAAACTAGTAGAGCAGCTTCAGAGTTTACAGAAGGGAAAGGATTTTTTCCTCATCAAATTTTGAGTTGTGCCACACTTTACGAAAGACAAACAAACAAATGAAAGCATGAAAACAACGTGTTCCCGACTGTACTTTCTGCCCTTATCTGCAGAACAGCTCATTTGCTGCTATGCAAAGCATACTGGTTTCTGACATGCCCTCGCATTTCAGCACGACACTCGGTAGTCTTCCCATCAAGAACTAACATTTAGGGAACTGAGTAGTTCTCAGAACAGCTTTCTTGAACCTATGCTTCCTGGGTCATCCATACCAATGTAATTTTCTCACAGTGATAAGGCAGCCAGCAGATAAAGAAGGCCAACCCCAGTCCCATCCCCCCACAGGATCTGTGCTGTGCTCGCAGCCTGTGACATTATTATTGCTCTTTAACGTTGTCTGCAAATGAAATATGAACATGCATTACATTAGGAAATAATTAGTATTTAAAAGAATAGAAGGATAATCCACTCAAAATGAACAAATTAATTAGAAGATAACACGGGCGGTTAAGTGTCTACTGGATGGCTGAGCATGACTTAAACACATTATTATTATTATTATTATTATTTGAGGGCTGTACACATATTTCAGTTTTTGTTATTTATCCCCATGTATAAGTTAATAACTATAACCAGAGCATATGGCAAAACAATGTGGCAACAAATAGCCGGACACACTGTGAAACATCTAAACAACAAACACACAAACAACAACAACAACAAACAAACAAACAAAAAACAAGCAACATAACGTTAACTGACTTATTTTAGTCCTTATCGATGAACCAGCTGAAAACTTGGTCAAGGTTTATTTCAGATCATGTCACCGATTACGCTCCCCAATCGTTTTCAGGAGCTTCCGTCAAATGCGCATAGCAGTATGAAAACAGACGGAAAAGAGGCTTTATCGACCACGATTAAGTGCACAACTGTTATATTTTATTCAAAATGAATCTGCGCCAAGACAAGAAATGAACCTGATTGAACCCAATCAGATCGTAGCCGCTCATTTAACACGGCCAAAGCATTCTATCACAGGTTTGTCACAGCAACTCTGGTCCTACAATCATAACAATCTAATGAAAAATGGCTTCCCTGGATCCGAAAATCTAATGACCTAATATCTAATATCCACCATATTTCAGTAGTCCGCGCTCTCCACATTAACACATGTTGTGCTCTGAATTATCACCCGCACACAAGGATGTTTACCGATTAACTGAAGATGCAACGCATCCTACTAGAGTCCAGTAATAAAACATAATTTCTGCTCGTTCGTTTGCATGTATTAAATTTTGACGTAGTTGTTATTAGCTAGCACTGCTAGCAGCGGCTAGCCACTTGGCGGAACAGCCGTGTGCAGACGCAACGCAGTTCAGCGAAGTGAAGAGATGCTAGTGACCCATACAAGGGTACCCATGCAAAGTTGAGCTGCAAATTTAGGTAGATTAAAGTCTCCAGTCGACTTAAACTTAAAGAAAAATGTATTCACCCGTGTGTCAACTAAGTTTAGGGCTCTAATTTTCGGATACACTATTTTGTGCAAACTTGCAATAGCTTTAACGACCTCGCGAGCGAGATTCCAGAACAGAGCAGAAGCTAGCCAACGTTTTAGCCGTCAAGCTAAATCCACAAGCCAGGAGCGAGTCAGGTAGATAGTTTCTGGATTCAGTGCATGAAGCCGGGGAACCTTTTACGGGACTGGCCGAAGACTTGTCTTTATGGTTAATAGTTCCCCGGCTGTACACCACCCCTCGACACAAAGCTCAAGTAGCTGGTTAGCTATAGGTAATCCATCTAGTTGAACAGCTAGCTAGCAACACCGCACAGCCTGCCTTCCGCCGACGTGCACTTCCCCCACTCACCCTCCAGCCGGCTAGCCGCAGCGTTAGTCCGGTACATAAAATGAGGCGACCATCAGCATTTTGGGACGCTGTGTGGCTGTTTGGATTTTGCTGATGCATGAGGAGACGATATTGTTTTTATGAGGTGAGCTGTTTTAATTGTGGCCTCTTTGAACTTCTTGCAACAGACATACCTAAAGACACACCAACCCTGACCTTAGACCGGGTGTTAGCTCTGCTATCGGTACCATTTAGCTGTTAGCTTCGACCAGATGGGGTTGTCTAGTTGCTGGAGAACTAGCTATGTTACCTGGGTGCTAACTTTAGGTTGAAATATATTCTACGCTGCCTGTATCCACGATGCGATCCACGGAGTGGCTGTTTGAATTTTAGAAAAGTGCATGTTTCGGTGCATGAGATTTTATGTATTTCTCGTAGTTTTGGTTCTTCGGGAGACTTTGCTGCTACGTCACCATTGATAGTTGTTAGCTTTTCCGTATCAGCCTGTCGCCAGTGACAGGGACATGGCTATTTGCTGGACTGAACCAACCCTTTGAAGTCGGTGTTTACATTGAGAAATAGTGCTTAGCGCTGCAATTATTCAACTATTAAACCTCAATAGCTTTCACAGTGGCATTGCAACAAATCGCAGCTGCTGTTGAGTGACAGTACAAACTAAAACCAAACATGTTTACGGTGAAAGTTAATTTGTAACGTTAACACTTTTCACGTTAACTTTGCTAGCCAGGATGTTAAAGACGGTAACTTAGCCATCGTGTCATTAGTTTAGCTCTGAAACACTGGCAACTTCATTTTAAAAATAAGGCATAGATAGTATGCATATTAGGGATGATATAATGAGAGTTTGGTTTTGGAGGACTTGGATTTAACACTAGTTTGTTGTCAAAGGGAGAGTGCGTTTCCAGTGTTGTTGCCACCGAATACGATTACTACGGACATGTCACGTTAACATTATATAGCTTTGTCCATTAGCTCGATTGCATTCAGCCGTTAACAGCCATCAATGCACTTTGCTTATGATGCAGCGTCACATGAAAGTTGTTTTAATTGTACAGTTATATTTTGAGAATTTGGGCTGTATCTTAAAAGTACTACTTGGATAGACATTTAAAACACCCCCCATATAATTTTAATGAGGATGCACATACTTCGCTAATGGTTAGTGCTGAAATCTATGCATTTTTATTATCTTCTTGAATCGTGGTGAATTCTGCTTCCGTTTGCTAAACACTAGAAAAGCGCACCCGTCCTTGGACTGGCATCTTATTCCAGCTGCTTTAGTGAGAATGAAAATGAAATATTGCGAAATGTGTGCATGATCACGTTAGCTTATGGGAAGGTTTTTCTTTTGTTAAGTATGTTGCCACATTCTTTTTATTTTGTAAGTCAGGAAGAACAGACATTATCGGCTGGATCTATGTTTGAAAACGTATTTATTTCGTGTTTTGTATTGCCCGTAGTCAGTTAGATTGGCACAGCATCGCATCATCGACGACTTGCTCGGTTGTCAGTTTTCTAACAACTGAGGATTCACGATTTGTCAAATTTTTGGCGAAGATGTAATGTAGCACAAAAATATAACATGCTAATCGAAGCCAACTGACGACTTTTAAGATATTACCCGTTATTGGCCATGGACGTTAACAAAACTCCCAACACTTCCTATTATTAGCCGTGTGGATTAAAATACGACGAGCCCTTCATTGTTTGTGTTACAGTAATTTTGTTAATGGCGTGAATCTCACAGCGGAACTATGATGCGAGCGACAAGGTTCCGCACGAACGGAGTCCCGCTGCAACAGGAAGTTCTACATACGGAAGTTGTGTTTTCTTTGTGTATCCCGATTTATGGTTGTTTTATTTAGCAAAACACCATTTCACTTGTAACATTTCGTGCTTTTTTGCCGAAGCAGCTTCACCGTTTTGGATTATGCATTGCTGGGTAAACAACTTGACTTGTTAAAACGATTTCCGATTGATCTCTCTCTGTAACCTTCGCGCTATTTTCATGAGTTTGCGAAAAAGCTCGATTGCATTACTACTGACGTTGTTTAGATGCACACACGGAAATCATCCCAAGTAAAGACATAACAGTCTCATTGAATTAGTTTTGTTGTTTGTTGTCGGGTTTATGTTTAAAGTGCTTTTGGGTGGGTAGGGAGTCGTGTGTGGAGTATGTTGTGAAAAGGGAAATGCTTTTTTAGGGATTGTTTTTCTTGACGGTAAATGTATGTCGGATAATCTCGTATATTAAGGAATTTTTGCATACTATTATTACTTTTCAAGCTCTTTTCCCATGTCAGTATGTGGTGATAACAGAGCTGATCTTAAGGACATGGCCACTTAAACTAAAACGCTCACAAACTGTTTGCATATTGTGATTAACTATTCCACTTATGATCAGCATTCACAAATTGAAGAATTGTTGTGTTTGTAAATTGCAGATCTCTGTCAAGGAGGTCAAAATCAGTACAGGGGATGGACGAGCAGAAATCAAACTGCGAGGAGAATGACTCTGAACCAACAGGTAATGTGTTCTTCATGTTTTGAACACTGTTCTGCGGAGTGATAAATAATGCCATGATGCACCTCTGCACTAAAGGAGCAATGAATATGGTTGAAGACCAAAGCAGATTTTCCTCTTTCCTCAGAGTAGTGATTTGTTATAGTAAATAATTTGGGGTGATGACAGTAGAGCCGGACAAAATAGAATGTTTTGTATTTCCCCATGGCAGATAGGTATTTCTGTGTTTAATGCAGTTATTGCTGAGTATGAGAATGTTTTTTTTATTTTTATTTTTTAAGCTGATGACAATGCCACTGCAAAGCAACTTGTCTCCTCTGAGGAGGAGTCCAAGGCCGTTCCTGCTGCAGAGGACGAGTCTGTTGCTAATGCAGCCTCTTCCTGCACACCTGTGTAAGTTCCTTAGTCAGATTATCGAGGCTGTTGTACCCATAGCTTTATTCCAACGAGATGTTCTGTTGAATCTCTATTTATTTCGTTTGCGACCTTACAGAGAGAGCGTTCGTGCCTGTGCGCTTTGTAACTGTGTGGAGCGGAGCCTGCATGGACAGCGGGAACTGAGACACTTTGGGCCATCTTCTGAGCAGTCATCCCTCAAGCCATCAGCTTCCCCACTGCCACAGCCCGGAAATGATGACCTGTCTTCCATTGGATTTTCGGACTCCTCTTGTCTGACGGCACTCCTTGATGACTCAGGTTAAACGCAAAACATTTTGTCATTGCATTTCAAAGTGTGTACATTTTTGCGTAATTAATACTTGTGCAGAATAATCACAAGTTCCATATTTAGAATTAAAGTTGAGTTAGTTATTTTACTGATGTTGGCCTTCATAATGAACAGGAGGTTGTTGGGTTCATCACTGGTGTGCGGTGTGGTCGGAGGGAGTGAAGCGGACGGATGATGAGGAGCTGGAGAACGTGGATAAGGCCGTTATCTCAGGGACACAGCGGGTAAGTGTAGTGTCCATTGACTTGGTTAGACACTATTGAATGGGAATATAGAAATTCCAAGATTATTCCTTCACACAATTTACTACTTGCCACTGTTGCTTTGTTTCAGCTTTGCGAATACTGCAAAAGGCTGGGTGCAACCATTCAATGCCATGCTGAGGGCTGCTCACGGTTCTACCACTTCCCCTGCTCGGCAGCCAGTGGATCATTCCAGTCCATGAAGCAGTTGGTCCTCCTCTGTCCAGAGCACATAGACAAGGCAGAGGAGCTGGGTAAGAAAACCAAACACCCTTACCGACATTGTGATGAAGTCATAATTTAGGACTCACAGTACAGGGGTTGCAGTATGCACACATCATAGAAATGATGACGAGCTGCCTATCAAAAAGGCAGTGCTGATTTTGTTTTATCAGCTATAGACTGCTAATTTGCCAAGGCTTTATACTTTTTTATGATCTTTGTTTTCAGAAAATGTCAGCTGCCTGTATAGCTTAAAAGTGAACAAAAACAGTCATTGATAATACGTCTACTTTTTAAAACTCTTGAAATCTATACTTGTGTTATTTGCCACCGCCAAAAAGAAAAGTAAGGCCAAAATACAATTTAAAATGAAAGGTAGCATTTCTAATTTCTTAAAATGTAGTTGTTTAGAATGATCTCAAATGGGTTGCCAGCAACCTTTTGGTAGTTAAGAGATATAAATACATTGTGTACTTTGCGTGCAAGCTGATGGCCGAGTGGTTAGAGTACATACCATATGGGCACATACACCAGTGGAGCCCTAGTTTGAATTCTGGCTAGGGACCATTTGCTGCATGTCATGCCCCTGCACTTTCCCTCGCATTTTCTGTCCTTCTCTCCTCTGTTCCTGTACAAATATAGGCAAAAATGTCACCCAAAAAATGTAAATAAAACAACAAAAACAAACTTTCTTTGCCTAACAAAACATGTGACATCTTTGAGGAGGACTGGTTCCCTATCTTGTGGCACTATTCCTTGTTGACTTTCATGATGTACTAGGAAGTTAAAAAAAAATTCATGCAAATGTAGTTTTGTTTTTCTAATACTATTTCATATGTTTTTTCGCAGCTGGTGAAGAGGCTTGGTGTTCAGTTTGTGACTCACCGGGGGAGCTCTCAGATTTGCTATTCTGTACGGGTTGTGGCCTACATTATCATGCGGCCTGTCTGGAGATTGGTGCCACACCCATCCAGCGAGCAGGGTGGCAGTGCCCAGAGTGTAAAGTGTGCCAGACTTGCAGGTGAGTAATGTTTTCTTTTCTTTTATTTAGTGATATTTACACAGTTTTTGACTTCTGTCCTGTTTACTTGAGATTTGTTTACATTTTTCTTCTTTATTCTTCAATTTCTTAGACAACCAGGGGAAGACTCCAAAATGTTGGTCTGTGATGCCTGTGATAAAGGTTACCACACCTTCTGTCTTCAGCCAGCCATGGATTCTCTTCCCTCTGACCCGTGGAAATGCAGAGTAATTCATATTCGTTTTCACCTGTGTACACAGAGATTCCCAGAGCTTTGAAATATACTGTTAAGCAAGTTTACTAGTTCAAAACTGTGTTACGTTTTCTGAAAATATTTTCACGTACCAAGATATTTGTAAGAAAGTGTTTTCCATTTGATTTTTTTGAGCGCTTTTTAACTCCACAATCTGTATTATGACAGAGGTGTCGCGTATGTATGGAGTGTGGTGTCCGAGGACTAGTGCTGCCAGGTTCGGCCCAGTGGTTTGATAACTACGCCGTGTGTGAGGGATGCCAGCATCAGCGCAGCTCTGTTTGTTGCGTATGCAGCAAAGCTGCCAACCCATCTGTTGCTCTGCAGTGCTGCAGCATGTGCCACAGGTTAGTTCAGCGTACCATGGAGGTTGCTATAATGTGTGGCCATGTTACTCCTATTGTCAAACATATTTCTTCATGATCTCTTATTGTCTTAGGTGGGTGCATAGTGAGTGTGCTTTACTGGGTGAGCTTCCAGAAGCCAAGTGCATTTGCCTGCTTTGCAAGGAGGATCAGCAGCAGCCTGTTGCACAACCAAACACTGCAGAGACACAGACGAGGGAGGTGTCTGAGAATACTGAAGGACAAGTGAAACTGATGGAGACGACAATCCAAATGGATGCAGACACGGTGGCAGAAGAGCAGACAGATTTATCAGAAGGCACACCAGGACAGAAGGAGATTGGTCGGGCTGAAGATACAACTGAAAAAGAGACACAGATGGACTTGGGTAAGTCTGAAGTAGACACAGCAATATGCCAAAATTAGAAGACATGCCTGTCATGAGTTTTACTGGATTAGTAAAAAAGTGTTTCTTTGTGAGATGTGTCTATCTAAGTTAATTACTTTTGGTTTTAGGGGTGGAGTCTGCAGCTGTTGACACAGCAGACGTTGGAGAGAAAACCACGGAAGGCGAGCCACCGGTAGCAACAGAAGGACTCAGTTCTGAGGCATCAGCTGCTCCACTTGAGTCTTCAGGTAAACTCAGAACATGCCAGGCTGAACATACATATTTGAAAATGAACACAAAGCAGTTCCTTATTTGCCTGATGCCTGCCGTAACTAATGATAGATATATAAATGATGATACTGATAATCACACATTCCTTAATCTCAAATGTATAATGTGCAACAACAGAACAGGGGGCCTCTTGTCTACCTGCTGATGAAGAGAGAGCAGAAGAGGCACTCAGCCAGATGACCCAGGCCACCCCTTCCCAGGAGCCCACAGCAGAGACACAGTCGGACAACAACCTTAAAGCAGAATCACCACCAGTGTCACAGCAGGGTCCTGAAAATATGGAGGTGAAGAAGGAAGAGGAGGAGGAGGAGGAGAAGCAAGAGGCCACTCCCTCAGTTGAACATAAACTATCACAAGAGTTATTAAAGAGTGGATCTGATGACATGGATGTTTCAGAACAATTCAGTAATGATCCACAAAAGTTACCAGCTTCTCTAAACTCTGTGAACAAAACTGAGCCTTTGTCCATGGATGATAAGCAGGAAAGAAGTCCATGCCAGGAGCCCCAGTCTCCTACTCGTTCTTTATCAGCAGACACACAAGAGGCCCTCTCTGCTGTGGACATGGATGGGAGGTTACTACCTCACTCTGAGGAGGAGGACGAGGAAGAGGATGATGAGCAAATGAAAGGAGATGAACATAATGAGGACATAAAGCAGGAACTACAAGAAGTTAAGCCAGAATTGCTGCTGGATGAAATGTCCAATATGAGCCATGGAGATGAGAGCAGCAGTGGCTTTCTGGGCTCTCCAGGAGAACCTGATCCTCAGCTCTCCATGGAGCTCGGCCTCGTACCTGCTGGCCATTCACATACAGATAACCTGCTCACTGAGACTGATGATTCACTTCCCTTCGAACCCCTCAGAAGTGACAGAGAGAAGGCAAAACGTAGAGGATCTCCAGGCCGCTCACGGGTCAAACAGGTGAAAAGTTGGTCTATGTTTGAGTGATTATGCCTCAACAGCTGACGTTACTTTAAGTCTTGTTTTATGTCTAAAGTGTCATTGTCACAACATGACTTTCCGTTAATTTTTTTTCCTTTGACTTGTAGGGGCGAAGCAGTAGTTTCCCTGGGAAGCGCAGACCACGAGGGGGTGGTGCAGGCAGAGGGCGTGGTGGGAGGTCACGCCTCAAAGCCATGGCCTCCTGCATCGATGCCTTCTTGGTGAGCTATACTTTACACACCATTCAGATGTTTTTTAACTTTTACAAAGAGGTAGTTTCTTAGTTTGTCGCGTAATTACACATTTTGGCTTTTTTTTTTTTACAGCTAAGCATGACCTTAGACACTGGAATTAGTAAGGAGGAAGATGAGGAGGAAGATGACACCATGCAGAACACAGTGGTTCTTTTCTCAAACACTGATAAATTTGTCCTGCTGCAGGTACAGTTATTATTTTTTTTTTAAATTCCAACTACCCTGTGCCCATTTGCTTTGCCAAGAACTGCAGTTGTCACTTATAAATGCAGTGCTAACCGACTCTTGTTTCCCTTTTCACGTTCTCTCCTCTCTTTTAGGATATGTGTGTTGTGTGTGGCAGTTTTGGAAAGGGTGCGGAGGGACAGTTGCTGGCTTGTGCTCAGTGTGCCCAGTGTTATCATCCTTATTGTGTGAACAGCAAAGTAAGAGCAACGTTGTCCTTAGGTTATGTTTTAATTTCTGTATTTTGTCAATGCCGATAGATTAAACCCGATATCCTCTACAGATCACCAAGACGATGCTCCGTAAGGGCTGGCGCTGTTTGGAATGTATTGTGTGCGAGGTGTGTGGAAAAGCTTCAGACCCTTCCCGTCTGCTGCTGTGTGACGACTGCGATGTCAGCTATCACACCTACTGCTTGGACCCACCCTTGCACACTGTACCCAAGGGTGGTTGGAAGTGCAAATGGTAAAAGAAGAAGAAAACTCCTAAGTGCACAATGCTTTGTTCAGCTTTGTAGCTTTGAATTGGGTCAAATGGAAATGAATACATTCAAATTTGCATATTATGTAAAACACTGGTGTCTCAGCCTGCATTAGCAATTCAAAGGCCCAACCTTCTCCTTTTGCTTCTCTTTCAACAGAAAAAAATGCTACACCACTCAATTTGGCGTCTGCAGTTTTTTTCATATTGCGTATTATTTAGACAAATGTTACAGTGTGCTTCACTGCTTCTGTCCAGGTGTGTGTGCTGTGTACAGTGTGGCTCGAACTCACCAGGTTTCCACTGTGAGTGGCAGAACAACTACACACACTGTGGCCCCTGTGCCAGCCTAGTCACCTGTCCGGTATGCCGGGAGAACTTCATGGAGGAGGAGCTTCTACTGCAGTGCCAGTACTGCGATCGGTGGGTGCTGCTTATTTGGACTACACATGCACACACAAGACACAGAAACTGAGATATTCATGAGACTACAGCTTATGAAGACAAGCAAGGAAATGGGTTATTTATGCAGTTTTCATGTCATAAATTATTCTATAACATCTCTGAGTTGTGTGATTTGTTGAAAAGTGTGCATCGCTACGTATTTCTGTGCCCATGCAGATGGGTCCATGCTGTCTGTGAGAGTCTGTACACAGAGGATGAGGTGGAACAAGCCTCTGATGAGGGCTTTGCATGCACGTCCTGTACCCCATACGTGCCCAAACCTGTGGGTAAGTCTCAGAAGGACACCATTTTAAAACTAAAAATGAAGACTATGACTTCAAAGTATACACAGTATATTCTTTTATGTACTGATAACACGATTTTCTTTTCCTGTCTCTCCCTGCTTTTTGCCTTTGTTCACAGTAGTAGAGTCAGCCATTATGGCTTCAATAAAGATCAAAGAGCCAGGTTAGTGGATTTTGCTTATTCATGTTGTTTAGCCCTGCATGGCTATGTTCTGTTTGATTTATTGTAAGTCATTCGGATTTGCAAATGTCACTTTTCAGAACCGCAGTTCTACCGGTTGGAGGGAGTGTGGCTGACAGAGTCGGGTATGTCCCTGCTCCGCAGCATCTCCATGTCTCCTCTGCACAAGAGACGGCAGCGGCGCTCCCGTCTTGGCACTCTGTGCTGTGACGGAGGTCCCGACGGAATGGATCTGAGGGAGGTTGATGGAGAAGGAGAGGAGGGTAAAGGTTGGCATACTTTCTGCTTATTCATTTATGTATGAACAATTTTCAGGGGTGTTTTGCTCCTTTTTAAATTTTATTCTGTATAACTAGGCTGTGGGGAACCCATGGAATGTGAACCCAAGATGGAGCAACCTGGGAGCCCTGACAGAGAAGGTGGTGCTGAGAGGGATGGAGGTGCAGATGGAGGCCCTGAAGGCATGGCTGATTGTGATGGACTGAAAGGAGGAGCAGAGGAGACAGATGACAGCAAAAAAAGGAAGCGAAAACCGTACAGACCTGGTAAGCCACCTGAAACATCACAGAACAACTTCTAACATCTACGTAGATGGTCTCTAGTGTTAATTAAATATTTACAAATGTGTTTTTATTGAATTTTACTAGGAATTGGAGGCTTCATGGTGCGACAAAGGAAGTGTCACACACGGATGAAGAAAGAATTTTTTGCCCAGCTGGCTGGAGAGACTACGTTGGATGGACAGCCAATAGAACGAACTATTGAGGATGGTTGGTGACAGTTGAATTTCATTTAATCCAATATTAAAATGTTTATAGCATTATGTATTTTAAATATTTCCACAATACACACATTTCTGATTTCAGGAGTGGGACAGGGTTGTTTGCTTTGAAAAAATGTGTGTGTCCCATCATCCGCCATGGTGCTGAACCATGTCCCCTGCCAACACAAGCCATGCGTTTTTATAACATGGCAACTTGCTTAAGTTGCAGTCACATGCCACTAGTAATTTCTTAGGAATATAACAAAATTGTGATACTGAATTTCATTGTTTTATACATGTGTAGGACCCCACCCTGACACGGATAACATAATGGATCCCAAACCAGTAGAGGGTGAGGAACAGGCCAAGAAACGTCGTGGTCGGAAGAAGAGCAAGCTTGAGGACATGTTTCCAACTTATCTACAGGTCTGTAGTCTCTCTTTGCCCCGTGCTTTAAACCATTTTGAAACTTACAGTATCCATTGATGTAATTTTCATATCTTAAACATTATTTTTCACTGCAGGAGGCTTTCTTTGGGAAGACACTAATAGACTTGAGCAAGAAAGCTGTGATGGTAGCTCCAGGGCAGAGGCCAGGTGCATGCCTTGTCCGACCTTCATTAGCAGCACCGACAGGGGTCAAAACTGCTACCCCAGAAAGTAAGAACACAAACTTGACCAGTGACAGTCTGCAAACCATTTGTGATAGTGAGTCTGGAAAAGATCAGTACACGGTGTGTGACTTGTCCGTTTCTCTTACTAGCTGAGGCCAAGGATCGGATGGTGGAAGGTAATTTTCCTCTCAAGCAAGAGGGGGGTGAGGCCCCCCAGGCTCAGGGAGACGGTGCAGGTAAATGTCTAATATGAAGAGTGAAGTGGCTAGTTAATTTTTTTTGGTCTTTAGCTAATTCCAAGTTGACATACCATTTTATAATTTTTAGGAATTCCTACACCATCCTCTTCACTGAAGGACCAGGTGTCAACTGACCCTCATGACTCTGATGCAGAAAAAAGTGAAGGTAATTGTTTGAGGGTACTTGAGTATATGTAGTATACAACACCAACTTAGAGAAATATTTAATGTTCTATGTTCACATCCCAACTTTTATGCTATATTGCTTGTGTAACAGGTCTTCCACAAGGAGTGGAGAGTCAGGACTCTGAGCAGTTCTTCAGGAAGGTTCTGGGAGTGTCAGACGGCTCCTCTTTAGGAGGCATGAAGCCCATCTTGGAGGGCAGTAAGGGAGAACTCAATCGTAGCACTCTGCCACAGAGAGCTCTCCTCTCAGGTGTGTACGAAGGATGCGTGCAGATGATCATATAATTAAAAACTTTAATAATAATAAAATTCTTAGGATTCTGAAATCGGCACACAAATATGGTTTAAGTGAAGCTTGGCTTCAAACACCGTATGTATCTTGCAGGGTCCCTGCCCTCAGCTGGAATGATGGATGCCTTTCCTGGCCTCTCTCAGTCACCATTCTTTGACATGCGGTATGACCAGTATTGATTTGCTTGATTTATTTTATTTTTCAATAATATATATATTATGTTGTTCTGCCACAACTTATCTAAAAGCACACTTTATTTGATCTAGTTTTCAGTAGACTGTTGTTGATGTTTACACATGTAAGTCCTTTATTTTGTAATAGACAAAATGTTTTCACATTACAGGGACCGAGGAGGGCTCTTCAGTCCTGATGGGGGTGAGGAGAGCCCCTGGGCTACTCCCTCTACCCCAGCAACCCCTTCCTCTCCACCAACCCCCACAGAGGCTGAGGGCGATGGGCTGTCTTACAACCAGCGCAGTCTTCAGCGCTGGGAGAAAGATGAGGAGCTTGGAGAGCTGTCAACCATTTCTCCTGTTCTTTATGCCAATACCAACTTCCCTACTCTCAAACAGGACTACCCAGGTTAGTGTGAAAGAAATACCAAAACAACATATAGAACCTATTATTAAATTGAACTTCAAATTTAGATTATTTTCAACGTTTGCAACACTGTTCTAGATAAGCCGCTAATTATTTTTTCTTTCACAGACTGGGCTAGTCGCTGTAAGCAGATCATGAAGATCTGGAGAAAGGTGTCAGCTGCTGACAAGGTTCCATATCTGGTAGGTTCTTGGTTTTCTGTGTCCTTTGCTTTAAAAAGGATTAATTTACCTGAACAGTTGTTTGCTGCAGTTCTCTTTTAACAGAATTTATAAAATGTAATCAGTGATGCCGGTTCTTGTTATTCTGTGTTTGGTCACATTCTTAGTAGAAGCTTGTTCCCTCTTTTACATGAAAAATGACAATTACCAAGCTCAGATATACAGAAAGTTATAATCTGAAATGTCTGACATCTAGCAGATGGGCACTGCTTATTGGAACCCCAACAAGAACTTTGGCATTAAGATTGTTGGTAATTAGGTTCTGTGTACCCAGTGTATAGTGTTTCTACAGTTAAATAAGTAAAGAAGTCAAAATTTACATTGTCATATAATTCCTTTCTTTAGCAAAAGGCCAAAGATAACCGAGCAGCACAGAGGATCAACAAGGCGCAGAAGGTAGGTTAAAACATCAGCTTTCTCTTACAATGTGAGATTGAATAAAAAAAACTTGGTAGATTTCATTAGGGTCCTGGTGTATGGGCGACCAAATAGCAGAGTGGTTTGGGAGTATCCCACATGGGCACAAATGACATCAGCATTGAGTCCCTGATTTGATTCCCTGCTGAGTGCTACCTTACTGAATGTCATTCCTTTGCTTTCTTTACCAACATTTCCTGTCTCTCTACTTCTCCTTTATACTTAAAAAAAAAAAAAAAAACCTTAAAAAGTACAGATTGCTAATTTTTCTTCTGTACTGTCCTTTTGTCCTCTCACAGCAGGCAGAGAGTCAGGTGTGCCGGCCGATCAAGACAGAGCCGGGGCGTGTGAAGGGAGAACGGCCGAGTTTACACCTCCAGATCCCTCCACCTTCAGGCTCTACATCAGTCTCTTCCCAGCCCAGCTCTGCAGAAAGCCCATTTCCATTTCCTCCAGATTCAGGATCATCCTCTGTCTTTTTCTCAGATGGGCCTGTTAAGACCCCGTTGTCAGCTGATATCCGGACAGATCCCTTGGCCAAGCTTCCTCCTCAGTCGCCCCATTCTCACTCACACCCAACCACACCCTTCTCTCATGCTGGGGCCAGCCCTTTACAGGCCTCTTCCTCAGGTTATTCCGCTTCCGGCCCACAGGGTCCTCCTCAGGGACGGCCAGCCAGTCTTGGCCCTTTTGACATGCAACCAGGAACTCCTGGAACCCCCAGACGGGCTCAGCAGGTTGACCCCTACTTCAGATCACAGCTGCAGCAGCAACAGGGTCATCTACCACAGTCACAGCAAGGCTCTCAGGAGTCCCTAGGACCTCCAGAAAGTCCTCATTCAAGAGGTCCTGGGCTTGGGGAGTCACCCATCTTCTCACCACCCCACAATACCCACTATGGAGACCCTTTCAGAACCCAGCAAGGGATGGGACGGCCAGAATATGGTTCATCCCCGTCACCCTCTGCAGTGGCTTCCTCACCTGCAAGCACAGGGCAGTACAGGGCTGATATGAGTGCACCTTCTCCACGCTCATCTGCAGTTGGAAGACACGAGCTGTCTACTGGCTCCCCTGCTGGGATGCTGGAGTCTGGGGATGGTTTATTCAAGGCACCGATGACCCCTCGAATGCACCAAGGGGAGAGTGGGGCACTTCATCCTGGAGCCTCCCCGAGTCATCCTTCTGAAGGATACAGGCAGTCTCCCTCCCACACTTTCTCTGACCCCCATGCTCATGCACCGCTAACTCCCAGGCCGCAGTCAGGTGACAATTGTTCTCTTGGACCTCAGAGACACTCTCAACAGGAACAATGTCCTCGAGTGCCCTCCAGCCCACAGTCCCAGGGCAGCTCTCAGTCTCCCCACACTCCTGGTGGCCTGTCCAATGATGCTTACTCTGTCCATTCTCCTGCTACCCCTCGTTTTCAATCCCCTGACCCTTGTTCTCAACCACCTTCCAGGCCACAATCTAGGGACCCTTTTGCTACTGTCCACAAACCTCCTCGCACTCCCTCTCTTGCTCCAGAGGGAACTACAAATTACAAAACGTCACCTCATCCTAACCAGCCACCTCCAGGCCACCCCACCAACAGTTCTATAGGTGATCCTCTCTCTGGTAAACCATCAGCACCTCCTACTTTCAGCCGCAGCCCCAGCGCAGGAAGCTTCCAAATAACGCAACAGCAGACTCAGATGGCACAGGGTCAGCTTCAGCAACCACAGCAACAAACTCAGCTGACTCTAGGAGCAGACAACCTCAGTTCCAGGGTACCACCTCCCTCCGGATCTCAAGAATTACCAGCTGTTAACCCTCAAGACATACCTCATCAGCCGTCTTTGCCAGGCGCTCAAGAAATGCCTGACATTTCAGCAGTACAGGACCCTTCGTTAGTAGGACTTAGCCCATCTGAGCTGGAGAAGCACAGACAGGTATTAAAATATTAGCCGAGGGGTAGTCATTCTGTGCACTTGTGTAGGGGTTTTGCTAATCATCTCTTCTTGTCTTTTTTCAGCGCCAGAGACTGAGGGAATTCTTAATCAGACAACAAATGCAGAGAAATTCCATTAGACAAGAGAAGGAAGCTGCTGCCGCTGCTGCGGGCAGTGTATCCCCTGGCTGGTCTGGAGGAGAGATGGGAGCCTTTCAGCAGGATAAGGCACACAGAGCACCACCACCTTATCCACAGGTACACACCTTGACTACTACGGTAGCAACACCACAAATTTAGCATCTTGCCAATATTGTGAATATTATTATAAAACATTTTTGTATTAGGTTTGTTCTTTGCTGTGGAGTTCATAAAAAAGATGCTGAATGCCTCAACTAAAACTACAGATGCGCTGTTCTTTAGCGTACTTTGATTTCTCTGTTAATTGCTAAAAGCTAAATGGGAAAAGTATTGCAAATAAAAGGAACAGTACATTCACCTCTTTTTGCTGTTAATTCCTTCAGGATCGTGTCGCTGCTACTACTTCTGGAGCTCAGGCTTCTGTGGCAGGGAAGATGGCCATGGCAGCTGGAGGCATGGATGATAAGCTTATTCGCCCACCACCTCCAGGAACCCCTGCAATGGTGGATCCTAGCACACTAAGGCAAGCACTTCACTGAAGTAGATTATCTTGTTGTGTTGAAATGTAATGAGCCCAGGATCTCAAATTAGTCACAGAAAAAATTACTTAGCCCCAAGAGAAATATTTGTCACCCCGAATTAGTCCCACCTCTTTCATCTTCAAAACTCTATTATACAGCAAATCCCATTTGAATTAGAATATACATTTTATCTTTTGTGTGTCTCTGTTGACCAGGCTACCAGGGCCCACCAGACCTCAGGGCATGTTTGCCCGTCCACCATTCCCTCCTCAATGGCAGGGTCAGGCTCCAGGTCCTCGGAGGTTTCCGCAGCCTGGCATGGAGGCTATGGGAATAAGGCACAATCTTAATCCTGCTGTCAACATCCAGGGTATGGAAGGCATGGGTAGCCCTCACACCATGATGCCCGGACATGGAGGAGAGACCATGCAGCCACTTGGCCAAGGACCCCCACCACAGTTTATTGAATTGAGACATAACTCACAAAGGCTACCTTTGCGACCCCAGTTTATGCCCCGTGGACCCCAGCCAAGACCACGACTCTTTGTCCCACAGCAAGAGATGACAGGGCCTTATGCTCAGCAACATCCCATAGTTCAAGCTGGTGGCATTCAAACAGAGGGAGGCAGTGACTCACAGATGGGGTTACCACAGGGTGGACTCTCAGTGTTACTGCCTCAGCAGTCTACAGGATCAAGAACACAACAGCCCCACCTGCAGCCTCAAGCAGCTACTTCCACTCCAAACACTCCTAGTACTGAACAGCAACGGCTTTCACAACCAAGCCTAGTCACAGGACCCCAGCCTGCAGTGGTAGAGAACAGTGAGGAACTGCCAGAGCCTGACCTTGAGGGGCTAGGCGATGCTCCAGGAGACGGAGGTGTGGAGGATGAGGATGATTTGGCACTTGACTTGGACCCTGATAAAGGAGATGATGACTTGGGCAACTTGGACAACCTTGAAACCAATGATCCACATCTAGATGACTTGCTTAACAGTGATGAGTTTGACCTGCTGGCATACACTGACCCTGAACTGGACCAGGGAGACCCTAAAGATGTCTTTTCAGACCAGCTACGGCTGGTGGAAGCAGAAAGTGAGGCACCTTCATCCTCCTCTGGATCTGCACATGCTAAAGTGGAGGAGAAAGCAAAGGTGGAGCCAGGGCAGAAGCCTCTTACTACAGTCACTGCTACTGCACAGGAGTCTGCTACTCAACTGCCAGCCCCTGCAGAAACTGTTGATGTCTCCAAAGTCAAAGTAGAGGACAGAGGTCTAACGCCTCAGCTGCAACCAGGCCAGACTGTGGTGAAAGATGAAATGGGAGAGGCAGTTTCAATGCTTCTTGGGGCTGCACCAACAGCCAAGACTGCACAAACAGAAAATCAGTCAGCCTCACTTAGTTCTGTTCGATTAGGTGGACTTCCATACCCTTTACAAGGCCAAGCTGATCCATTGCCTTTTCCTCCAGCTGCTACGCATGGAGATATTGGTGATGATCCACTGGGGCTACCTGATGTAGGGGGACAGCACTCCCCTGCTGTAGACTTGGCAAAGGTAGAGAGCTCTTTAGATGGGGAACTGCCTCTTCTAATACAAGATCTGCTAGAGCATGAAAAGAAAGAACTACAGAAACAGCAACAGCTCAGTTCTCTGCACCAGGGAGGCATGGCACCTCATTTTTCTGGCCTCCCAAGTCAACATCCGAACCCACAGGCACCTGGGCAAATAATGCTGCCACACCACCATCGTCCACCACCCCAAGGAATGATAGCTCAGTCAGGGATGGTACCTCGTGCGCCACACATGATGCAGCAGCAGCAGCAGCAGCAGCAGCAGCAAAGGCTTATGGGACCAGGAATGGTGCCTCCACCTCACATGGCCATGGCCCAGCAGCAAGCCATGATGAGGGCGGGGCAGCCAGGGATCCATACAGGTCTCGGACATCAACCACAACCACAGCAGCAACCAGTGGTTAAACAGTCGCCTCTGGCCAACAGTTTCTTCCCAGATAAAGGTAAGCATGTTTGGTCACTGCCACTACTTTATGTAATGCTTTTTTTAAATACTTTATCAACAAACTCCTTTTGTTATTACAGATTTGGACAAATTTGCTGCTGATGACATCATAGATCCCATTGCCAAGGCAAAGATGGTGGCACTTAAGGGTATTAAGAGAGTGTTGGCGCAGGATCCAATGGTCGTTCCCTCCGGCATTAACAGGTATTTTTGTTAAACACTAAGCTTTGTATACATGACCTAGGCATTCTAATTTTTTTTTTCGCTATTATTTATAAATATAGCCAGTATGTTTTCATTCAACTGTTTAAAGGCAGTTTTATTTATACATAAATGTGAATAGAAATGATGCTGTTTTGTTAAAAAATGTTAAGCTTTTTCATCTGGAGAGGAAAACATTGTTCTATGGCGCCACACAGCAGAGAACACTCCTGCCCCCACAAGAACATAATTGCAATTGGAACTGGAAGGCTGCCAAAAATGGCAGTTCTTTTTGGACTTCATTTTACCAGTAGCTTGTTATGTTGAGCTTCTTCTTATTTTCAGTTGTTTTTCAGATAGCAAATACAATACTAGAATTACACATTTCAGTGTCAATGCAATCCAGCAACCTCTCAGTATGTCCACCTCCAAATCACTGAATGTGTAAATAACAGGTAACTTTCTTGATTCAAATGGTCACATCCAGTATAAAGATTCTTCATCTCTGCCAATATAGTTTGTTGACCTTTTTCCCAGCCTAATGACCATTGCCATTGAAATGCACTGTAGGGTGTGCAACAGTGAGAGTGCATCACAGTTCAAACACACGTGTCTATGCACACCAGTAAATAAATGCATGATCACTCATACAGTAGTGTTCTTCAGTATTGTTTTTGACCCTCTTCACTAGTGTATTCTGTCTGTTACTGGTTCAAGCTGTATCACACAGTTTAGTTGAAAAATAGGCTCCTTACAAGCAGCTGTTTATAAGATGAATAACTCTGCAGCCACTTGTTTGCGACAGTGATCTGTGTGTCACAGCTGAGCCAATAATGGTCCCCTCAGCCACCAGTACGTGCAGCTCCACTCCTAAAAACTGCTGAATTTGGTCAGTGTCAATGGCTGATGATTCATAGTAGTCAGTTTACTTTGAAGGTTCTATGCTTAAGATTTGTTTGTTCTGAACATTGCTCCTATGGGATATGCAGCGTTGCTCACTCAGCTGTTTGCGTAGGCAATAAAAGTTTAAAAGTTTGTTACTTATTGTTGTAAAGTCTGTTTTACACTCCCCCCAAACATGGTGACTGACTGAGTATGCAATACAATTCACTGTCCAGTGTCATGTAACACATCAGGTGGTGGTAATGATATGGTATTGTCTGACTTTTTGCACAATATTTAGAAAACTACAGACATATTGCTGTTCAATATGCTACAGCTATACTTATAGTTTTATTCTTTGCTTTCTTTTCAGGCAACAAGTTTCTCTGCTTGCTCAGAGGCTGGCGTCTGCCCCAGGCACAGATTCAGGTCAACCTACATCTGGACCTCCAAAAGTATGCTCTCTTGCTTTTCCGAAGTGACTTATTTGATTTAAGTTTTTTGCACGTAAGTTATTTACAAAATGATTTCTTTTTGTCTGTTTAGGAGGGAGAAACAAGTGATCCTGCCCAGTCGAGACCAAACCCTCCCCAGTTTGTGCAAGGAATTATCAGTATGTTACACCAGTCCTTACTCTTTTTACATTTATTCATTTGAGAAGAAGTTATATTGCCATCTTCACCTTTTTTTGTGGATGGCTTAAACTCTTTTCTTCTGTTACAGATGATGCAGAACAGCACCAATACGAAGAATGGCTTCTTCATACTCAACAGTTACTCCAGATGCAGTTGAAATTTTTGGAGGAACAGATTGGAGTACACCGCAAATCCCGCAAGGCACTGTGCGCTAAGCAACGCACTGCCAAGAAAGCTGGCAGGGAGTTTGCTGAGGCAGATGCAGAGAAACTAAAGTTGGTAACAGAGGAGCAAAGCAAAATTCAGAAACAACTTGACCAGGTGTGTAGATTTGAAAGAACCTGAAGAAAACTGTAAAAATCTTACAGTACACAGCAAAGGCATATGGAAAATTGATAGAAAAAACTGATTTGTTCATAAATATTCTGTTCTAGGTGCGCAAGCAACAGAAGGAGCACACCAATCTTATTGCGGAGTACAGAAGCAAGCAGCAGCAGCATCAGCAGGGCTCTGGTCTTCTTACCCCAGGCCATTCTGCACAGGGGGGGCCCTCTCACATGTTCCCCAAGATGCCTGGCCAGATGATGATGGGCCAGCAGGGAACACCAGTAATGGGTCAACACCCAGGCATGATGCCCCAAGGTGGAATGCCTGTAAGGATGCCCCAAGGGCAGCCCTTTATTGGAGGAGCCCAACCACAACTTCCTGCTGCTCTCGGAGCCAGTGGTGCCAGAGCCCCAGGTCCCCCTGGAGCTCCTTCAGGCTTCTTTCCACAGGGGCCTGGAATGCAAGGTGCAGACCCCAGGCTTCTTCAAGAAAGACAGCTTCAGCATAGGATGCAGATGGCAAAGCTCCAGCAACAGCAGCAGGTGATGATGGGCCAGCAACCAATGCCACACCCAAATCAACAGTCTGGTTTAATAACTCAACCACAGTCTGGCATGATGGGGAACCAGCTTATGGCCCAACCACAAACAAATACTCAGCAGGGAATGCTGACCAATCAGGCTAACCAACAGAACATGGTGCAGGTTCCACAAGGAATGGTTGGAGGCCAATCTGTGGCACCACCACCACAGAACATAGGAGGCCAGGCCATTAACCATACTCAAGCCATGATGGCAGCTCAGCCAGGGATTATGGGGAATCAACCAGTTGCCCCATCACAGCAACAGAGGCCTCAGCTGATGATGGGCCAACAGGGTATGGTTGGATCTCCAGGTCACCCAGGCCTCAGGGGACCCCAAGCCCAATTGACTCCACAACAACAAAACATTCTGGCCCAGCGCATGCTTGCATCTCAGCAGCAGCAGAATGTTGCCAAGAATTTAGTCCATCTTCAACAGCAACAGCAGCAGCAGCAGCAAATGGCACAGCAAAGACAACAAACACAGCTGATCAGTCAGCCTAGCCAAGAGCAAGGAGGGCTCTCCCAACCTTCTACCCCACAGATGGGCTCCTCACCTTCAGCAGGAAGTAACACACCTCAACCACAGGGATCTACAGACAGCCAAAACTCAGGACTCAAAGAGGGTGGAATCCTTAGCCCTGCTTCAAGAACGCCACCACAGCAGAGTGGACCCTCCACTCCTAATCAGATGTCCCAAATTGGTTCTGCAAATGATCATCAAACTGACCTGGGACGACAACAATTACAACAGCAGCAGCAACAGCATCACAACCAAGTTTATATGACCCAGCAACAACAATCAAATCCACAGTCTGTACATGAGCAACAAGCAGGTTTGGTTGGAAACCAGCAAACTGGTGTGCTTCAACAACAGCAACAACAACTTCCGCTGACTCTCCAGAGGCAAGGTTCCCTCAGTGCTGACAAACCCGGTTTGATGACTATTAAAGAGGAGGGGAAACCTATTGATTTCTTAGCTCATCAACAACAGCAACAACAACAGCAAACTGTTCAAAATGCCACACAACAGTCACAAGATTCCACCATGCAGCAGCAGATCATAGGCCAGAGCCACCCTGGCCAGCAACAGCCTATTGTAATGGGTCATAGTCCACAACAGCAGGCCCTCATGGCCCAGCAGCAGAAACAACAGGCCATGATGGGCATGATGAGAGCCCAGCAGCAAGGGATGATGGCACAGAGACCTGGAGTTCCTCCTGGACAGATCCGCACCCCTATCAACATCCAGGCTATTATTGCCCAGAATCCTCAGCTCCGCAATCTTCCCCCAAACCAGCAGATACAGCATATCCAGGCCATGATTGCACAGAGGCAACTCCAACAGGGGCAGATGCTGCGAATGTCAATAGGTCAAGGGCAACAAGGTCAGTTGAGGCCACAGGTGCCGCAGGTTGGGCAGCAGATGCTAGGGATGGAAGGCCATCAGATGCCATATGGAGCCATGGGGAATCCAGGAGCCGTGGGTAGTCAGCAACAGTCTAGCATGTTGGGCCAACAACCTGGTGCTGCTCCTCAGTTACAACAAGGGCTAATGGTCCCTGGACAACAACAGCCGCAATTAGGGGAGATGATGCAGCAACATATTATGAGAGGCCAGGTACCAGTGCCACGCTCCCCCATGGACCAGGGCCGTATGGTGAGGCCAGCATCTCCACGTCAGCCATTAGCCAACTCTCCTGGCGATCCACAACGGCACACATTTAATCAAGCTATGGGGATGCGACCACCCACTCCCAACCAGAACCAACAACAAGCACTAATGGCAGCTGCAGCAGGCCGTGTACAGGGCTCTCCCTCCCATGCATATTCTCCAAGAGGTCCTTTTGGCATGAGCCCAGCTCACCCTGCCTCACCCCATTCATCCCATGTCTCCTCACCCTCTATAGCTGACAGCAGGGCTGGAAGGGGGAGTCCATACAGCCAAGTCAAGGCATCCCCACTCAGGTCACCTGGAGCCAAGAGTCCACTTGACTGTCCAGGACTGAAAGTCGAAACTCAGACATCAGGCAATGAAACACCTCAGTCATGTTCAGTTATCTCCAATGGGCCACAGAGAGGCATGAATGTTCAGCAACAGATGCAGCAGACTACAGAAAGCCAGGTTTCTCACACACAACAAGGGGAGCTATGCAAGATGACAATACAGAACATTAAACAGGAACCAAGGGAGGTTCAGTGCGATGGTGCAGCAGAGGCTTATCCTGGGGCAATAAAGCGGGAAGCAACAGGTGAAACAGTTCCTTCTGGGAACAATACTAGCTTTATCAATGCTGGAAACATGACCAGAGACCCTGGGAGTCAAGGCCCTAGATCAGAAACTGGACAGCAACTTCTCCAGAAACTCCTGAGAACCAAGAACCTTCAGCTTGGGGCACAGAGGCCTTCTGAAGGTATCCACAATGAGATCAATGGTCACATCAACAGCAAACTGGCAATGCTTGAGCAAAAACTTCAAGGGACTCCACGAAACATGGAGGTATGTTTCTGTGAAGTGCATCAATTGTTTTTGTGGTCGTGTTGTTTGTGGGGAAAACCTTTCATTTTCTTGATCTTTACAGGATTTACAGTCTATAACAAAAAGGGCTCCTGTACAAAAGCCAAAGCGCACCAATAAGGCAGCTGGAGACCGAGGGCCGACCTCACGGAAGAAGAACAAGAAGGAAGAAGTTGGAAAAAGTGCTGAGGCCCTGATAAAACAACTCAAACAGGTAAAAGGATGGCAAAATGAATTTCCTGAATGATTTTTACCATTGATGTTTTGAAGAGTGATTCTTAGATTCTTAGACTAATGGACATCTAACCTCCAGGGTCTCTCTCTGCTGCCTTTGATGGAGCCTTCGATCACTGCCAGTCTGGATCTTTTTGCCCCTTTTGGAAGCAGCCCAGCCAATGGCAAAGCCCAACTCAAAGGATCATTTGGAAATGCAGTGCTGGACAATATCCCAGACTACTACTCTCAGTTACTTACTAAGGTATAACTAAACTGTACAAGTACCATCAATGTTAGGTTGTGGGTTCATGTTACTTGTAGAAGAAAGTCTTTAAAAACTCAGGTCTCAAGAACATATTGTTTGTGCTTTTACAGAGTAACCTCAGCAACCCTCCAACACCTCCATCCTCATTGCCACCTACTCCTCCACCATCAGTGCAGCACAAGCTGCTGAATGGAGTGACTCCTGGGGAGGACCTGTCTGAGGGTCAGAAAGACACCGAGCCAGCAGAAGAGCCAATGGGTAAATTCATAATGAGGATTTAACCTGCAGTTAGACAGCAGTTGAGTTCTAAACACTTTGTACTATAATATTGTGTTTTTCTTCTTCACATTCTGTTGCAGAGGAGGTAAAGAGCGTCGACATTCTGGCAGCTCTCCCCACCCCGCCACATAACCAGAATGAGGACATCAGGTACAATAGGATGATTGTCCTGAGGTGTTTGTCAGCCAGAGTACATGGATTTCTTTTTGTTGTGTCTATAAATGTGGGAATTTTTTATTCTTTTTTTTGTGCAGAATGGAGAGTGATGATGAGGATGCTCCAGAAAGCATCATTCCAGCCTCATCCCCTGAGAGTAATGTAGGAGATGAAACGCCACGTTTTCCTCACCTGCGAGAGCCTAAAGAGGAGGAGACGGAGAGAGCAATATCCCCCATCATACCCCTAATACCTCGCACTGCCATCCCAGGTATTATGCTGCATTTTCCCAAACGCAACAACAATATTGCTCATATGCATCAGCAGTGCATACCATTGTCTATACCCACTTAGCCTTTAGAGGGTTGCATGGACATATCTACATGTTTTTGGGAAATCTACTGGATTGTGTTGTTACATTTCTCATTTCATTTTCGCATTAAATCCATTTACTCTGTTAAAATGCAAACTAATAAATGCTGAATTTACACATTTTCTTGTAGAATTCCCAGAGAATAAACCATTTGAAGCACCTGACAGCAAGGTAGTTTCCACATCCAATCACTGGGACAAGGCCAAAAACAATGAGGTGTCTGTTACCTTTACATTGTCTTCTGCTGCAGCCAAGGTACTAAGCCATTATGTCATTTCCCATTTTACTTTTTTTTCCATCTCCTTGCATTTTAGCAGAACATTAAATGGGCTTTTTTCCCCTTCCCCAGAAATTGAATCACGTGATGATGGCTATGGCCCAGCTGCTCAACATTAGGATGCCTGGTACTTACGAAGTCACTTTCCCTACACAAAACCCTGACATGCCTGGTGTGGATGGGACTGGGAAAGGACCGGGTCAGTCGGGTAGGTATTTAGGGACTATCTTGTTGAATTGGATTGTCCTGATGTCTTTTTGTATTGCGGCACTTACAGGATGTGAATGTCAAGGCAGTCTGCTTCACCAAGTCCTGTGGAAATTGTCTAACTTTAAATATATGCTAAGTAAAATTAGCCCTGGCTTCTTTAGTTTTTTTGTGACGCTAATCTCTTGATTGTAATTTGAGCACGATACTTGATAAGTTTTGCCACTATACTAGAGTAACCACACTGACATTGCTCTGCAACGTTAATGCAGTGTTTATTTACAGTTTATGCAAACCATAAACGAGGACTAATGTTAAAGTGGTAATGTTTTCCAGGGCCGCTGTGTCCAAAAGACAGTGCTTCACCTGGTCAGGATGAGTGGCTAAGGCAATTTGATGTGTCTCTACCGGGCTGTACACTGAAGAAACAAGTCGACATTCTAGCACTTATTAAACAGGTTGGTCACTACTATCATTTTTTTTAACTATCTTTCTTTCTTTATATGTCTCGAAAGCTGTGGATCTCATTTACGCATTCTTCTCTCAGGAATTTCCGGAGAAAGAAGACAAACCAGTCCAGCACTGTTACACGACCAATGTAAATGATTTGGATGTGCGCCACCTCCCTGTTATACCAGTGGAAGAGTCTCCACCACCGTCACCATCACCATCGCAATCTCCTTTCCAACCTCCCCCATCACTCCCAGCTACAGCTAGTGAAGCTGAACCTTCCAAAATTTCAGCGTCTCCATCCCCTTCACCATCCAGTCCCACCAATGTTCAAACCAAGACTGAGCCTCAACAGGATGGCGATCCTCCTGTTGAAGCTGCTCAACCAACTGATTCCACAGAGTCTGAAACTGCTGCACCAGAGCCAGTCACTGATCCAGCACCTGCGTCTACAGTTTCCGATCCCACCACTCCTACAGAAGATCACCTGATTATTGCTATCAAGGAGGAGGACGTGGGCCCTGATTCAGCCGATCCTCCGAAAGATTCTCCCAACACCATAGAGTCTTCCCCTAAGGCTGTGAAGCAACGCAGGCCTCTCTCGCCTGATGAAGAGGTGGTGCACCCCAAAGTGAAAAAATGGAAGGGGATTCGATGGAAGCGGCTTCAGATTGTCATATCAATACGGAAGGGCGGGTCTAAGAAAGAGAGCAGTCGTGAGGTGTCTGAACTCATGGAACGCCTGCGCATCACTCTTCGACCAGAAAAGCTGCCTCGGGATAAACGCAAATGCTGCTTCTGCCACGAAGAAGGTGATGGTGCAACAGATGGGCCTGCACGTTTGCTGAACATCGATGTGGACCTGTGGGTGCACCTCAATTGCGCTCTGTGGTCCACAGAGGTGTATGAAACCCAGGGTGGTGCCCTCATCAACGTGGAGGTAGCCCTGCGCCGTGGTTTGAGGACTCTGTGTGCGTACTGCCAGAAAACTGGTGCCACCAACAGCTGCAACAGACTGCGATGCCCGAACGTCTACCACTTTGCCTGTGCTATCCGCGCACGCTGCATGTTCTTCAAAGACAAGACCATGTTATGCACCCAGCACAAGCTGAAGGGCCCCAGTGACGACGAACTCAGTACATTTGCCGTTTTGCGCCGCGTCTATATCGAGCGCGACGAGGTGAAGCAGATCGCCAGCATCTTACAGCGCGGGGACCGAATCCACCTGTTCCGTGTCGGGGGTCTCATCTTTCATGCTATTGGCCAATTGCTGCCCTCCCAGATGGCCAACTTCCACTCACCCACTGCCATCTTCCCCGTTGGCTACGAGGCCACACGCATCTACTGGAGCACACGGGTGCCTAACAAGCGCTGTCGCTACCGCTGCCGCATCAGCGAAGACGATGGCCGCCCCCTGTTTGAGGTGCGCGTTTTGGAGCATGGCATGGAGGATTTGCAGTACCGCGACACTACTCCAGAAGGTAAGAACTCTGCTCTCTAAATTGTTACGTGGTTTCTCTCAGCGTTGTACTCTTCTAACACTTCAAAAAAACCTCTCTTGACCAATGACTGAATTTGATTCAATGTCTTCGTCTCCAGGGATCTGGGAACGAGTAGTTCAGCAGGTGGCTAAACTCCGAGATGATTCATCCATGCTGAAGCTGTTCACTGAACATGTCAAGGGAGAGGAGATGTATGGCCTCACAGTTCATGCTGTCATGCGAATCACTGAGTCGGTAAGACTTTGCAGCCAGGAGAAGTTGCTCTTTCTGTCTCATTTAGTTTGTCTTTATCTGTCAGTTACAATTGAAGCCTATGATCAGTTTCATCAGAGGGGGATGTTTAAAAAACCAAAACCCTGTTACAGACTAAACCAAACATCACAAACTGTCATGTCGTATGAAGCTTCACTTGACTCCATGTGACCAGAGGGATTTATAGTCACACAAGTGTGCTACAATATATTGGCTTCACTGTCCATAGAAGTGCATGATTGACGTGGTTTGTGTCACTTTGGTTGTGTTTCAGTTACCTGGAGTGGAGAACTGCCAGAACTACCAGTTCCGATATGGCCGACACCCTCTGATGGAGCTTCCACTCATGATTAATCCCACTGGCTGTGCTCGCTCTGAGCCAAAGGTTTCCTCACACTGCAAGAGGTACAACATTATGTTAGCAATGTTAGCTGCTGCATTTGTAAGAAATACTGAACATGGTAGAAGTCATTGGAATGTTTGTCAGCTGCAGCAAGGAACAGATATAAATACTAAACAATGCTTTGTGATGTTACTCATATTTCTACAGTTTGTCCCTCGCTGGGCACCATATTCCATTACAGTAGTTGGAAAAAAAAGAATAGTGAAATAAACTGAGTTTTTTGGGTGTTGGTTCATTCATTCACTGACAGCTGAACAAATATAAAGTCCCATCCTGAGGACTGAAGCTTTAAAAACTCCTGTGTTCTGTTATTTGATACTCAGTTGTACACATTGTTGTCAAAGCCTTTCTAATTGAATCTTACGAATGATGTGCATCAACATTCACATTTTTTTATTTCTGTTTGTCTCAAGGCCTCACACTCTAAACAGCACCAGCGTCTCAAAGGCGTACCAGAGCACCTTCACCGGAGAGCTCAACACACCGTACAGCAAGCAGTTCGTCCACTCCAAGTCCTCCCAGTACCGACGCCTGAAAACCGAGTGGAAGAACAACGTGTATCTGGCGCGGTCCCGCATCCAGGGCCTGGGGCTGTACGCGGCCAAGGATCTGGAGAAACACACCATGGTCATCGAGTACATTGGCACTGTCATACGCAACGAGGTGGCCAATCGTCGTGAGAAGATCTACGAATCTCAGGTAATCAGAAGTGCACCAAATCATTATGGAATGAAAATGTGAGGGGAAATTAAAGAAAAAAACATGAATGTGGGTGGGTGTAGCTGGACTAACAAGAAACTTAACTCAGTGAAAATGACGTATTTACTTATTGGGTATATTTTCTTCTTTCGTAGAACCGTGGCATCTACATGTTCCGCATCAACAACGAGCAGGTGATTGATGCCACTCTAACAGGAGGCCCCGCTCGGTAAGTGCCGGCTTGTAAACTGCCGCCTTGTCGTAAACCCTTGAGTCTGGGATGTTTTTTAACCTACCTTTTTTCCTTCTTCTTCCCAGCTATGTCAACCATTCCTGTGCCCCCAACTGTGTTGCTGAGGTTGTCACTTTTGACAAAGAAGACAAGATTATCATCATTTCCAGCCGCAGGATCCCAAAGGGAGAAGAGGTGCAGTGCATGACATAACTAACTCTTTTTATATGCTTTTGATTCCCCCTTTTTTAAATAAAACAGCCTTTAACTGTCTCCGTTTTCTCATTCCAGCTGACGTACGACTACCAGTTTGATTTCGAGGACGATCAGCACAAGATCCCTTGCCATTGCGGAGCCTGGAATTGCCGAAAGTGGATGAACTAACGTGGAGAAAGGAAATGGAGAGTTGGCATCTCCGTGGCACCAGAACACTCCTGCGCCAAAGCCTTTGAATCCTACATAGCCAGTGCATAAGCTGTTCGGAAAAGATGTGGAGGAAGGCTGGCCTCCACTATTGAAAGACTAAAGTGTTGACACCTGTAGCCAAAGGTTTGAAGAGCATTAATCAATAAGCAAGCAACCACCTTACATCAACAGCAGCTTGATAGGTGGGACTAACTTTCATGTTTGGACTAATGAATCACCCTTTCCTCAGCCAAAACCCTCCCTCCCTCCCCTTTTTCCTCAACTATTCTATTCTCAATAAGCTTACGGTGGCTGGAAAACAATCCTCAACATCTACCAAATGATTCTGACCCTCTGCTATCAGTCCTTGTAGTGCAGAGCTCACCCGGAGCTTCGACAAAAAGCCATTTTAAAAATACTAAGAGTGAACTAAGGATGCATTTTTTTGAAGTTGGACCTATTTCCTGTCCCGCCTGACCACACCTCCTCCTCCTCCTTCTCCTCCCCTCTTCCTCACCTCCCAGAAATGGCACTTTCCCCCCCTCATCAATGACTCACGACGACAACACGGATATTGGCTCGCTAGACAATCTTGATGTGGCTCTGTGTAAGAACTACATATGATCGATGGAGGGAGGGAGGGAGGGAGAAAAAAAACAGAAAAGAAAAAAAAAAAGATGTACGTAAATATAAAATTTGAGATGCTATTGATCTGTGGCTCCAGCGGCACCAGATGTTTCTTGACTGTGTGGAGCTCCAAGGTGGGTTTTAGTCGGACCCAGTCTACCTCACTGATTTAGCGGGAAGTGACTGCTTTGTATAAAAAAACTGTTAACTGCTACTGTGGAATTACTCTGTGGGGGGGTAGGGGTGGGGCAGCAGCGGCGGCGGTGGTGGTGGTATCGGTGGTGGTATCAGTGGTGGGGGGAGGGGGTTGTTTTTATGGGCTTAGCCTTCTCGGACAAGCAGGGAATCTTTAGCAGCAGGTTTGCTCTATCTACTCTATGCTGATGATGATTTACAATAATGAGCCAACATAATTATTATTCATGGATTATTTATACAGAGGAAATATATGACAGTTTTGATAAGATATTGCATTAAAATCACAATCAAGCTTAGTGGGTGTCCTGTATGCCACCAAATCATCCTGGATATTGATGTAGCTTTTTTTTTTTTCTTCTTCTTCTTCTTTTTTTTTTTTTTATTTATGAATCTCAAAACCATGCTATTAGCTGTGTGAAAGCACAATAACATCCGCCTTTTTTCAGTTTGCTCCAGACAGTAAACGGTGTGAGTAAATGGCTCAAGGATCGCTTTGATTATGGAAATCCAAAATGAACCCTTTAGCTGGTTGCTTCATACATTGAAGTTGTTTAAAAAAAGAAAAAAGAGAAAAAAAAAAAGGAAAAACACGAGCCAGTGGATGCATGACTACTGTCCCATTTAATGCTTCTTATTCCCCCAACAGCTCGGATCTTTTCACAACTCGACCTTAAACTTTGAATCATGCCTCTTCCTCTCTTGCATTATTTAATGGACTGTTGTTAAATTTTACTGTAGTAAGTCTTCCTCCGCCTGAGTACAGCCTGCAGTGTTTCTACTTCCCCCTGTAGTGTGCTTTTTTCTAGTGCTGGTACTGTCTTCTTGAGGCTGAACTGATGGCAGGGAAAGACTTATTGGAAAAAAGGGCATTTGTTTTTCATTTCTTGTGTAAGATGAATGAAAAAAGAAAAGAAAAAAAAAAAAGTCTTTAAAGGGAGCTTTACTAAAAAAAACTCCACCTTCCCATACTACTTTGTTTCCTCCTTCCCCTTAACCTAAGACCTCACATGATTTAAAAATGCAAAGTTGTACAAACTGTAAATATAGTATATGCATTAGGGGACAGCAACTCTTTATCCAGCCCCTTTGTAATCAATAAAGTCAAAAGTGTAGAAAAATAAAATTGAAAAAAAAAAAATAAAACAAAAAAAAAAAATCAACCACTGGATATCATTTTAACAAAGATAAAGCTGTACATAAATATAAATATATGTAAAATGGCAAACTAATATCTTTATGTATATGAACCAGAGTGTTTTGCATTTACCTGTTTTTCTATTAGTGTTTTTTGCTATAAGCTCTGAGACAAGTTTGTTAAAAATAGGTATGAGAAAAACCGTCTGGTCTTTCTCGAATCAGTCGCGACGAGAAGCCGAGGTGATTTCAGAAGCGTTTGGATTCGCGCCGAGAGTCGATAATTAGACATAAAAATCACTTCTTGCATAAAGCAGTACAATGGTGCATAGCATTTGTATTTATGTAATATTGTTCGTGTTTATTTTTTTCTTTTTCTTTTTTTTTTCTTTTTATTTATGCTACTGCTTGTTGATTACCAAAACCTGTCCCTTAATCGGTCACAATTGGATTAATATAGTCTTGAATGGAAAATCTTGAATTCCCTAGAATATTGTTAGTGTTTTTTGCTTTTTTATATCTTCCCTATAGAAGTGAATGTGTTGGTAAACCTTGTGAAATGGTTACTTGGCCTAATGTATGTTATGATGTAATACTCAAAGTTAATCCCATACTTAACCTGGTAATGAATTGCACTCTCATAGTATAACAGAGAACTTCTCTAAAGTGGTAGATATTGATCAAGTATCCGAAGCAGTGATATATATATTTTTTGGTATGTTTCTATTTCAAGGGAAGACCATGACGAGACATTATGCCGCTCTCACTGGATTTTAGCCTAAATAATTTTTAACTTCTCTGAATCTTAATTTAAGTTCTCTGCATATCTTATAATTTAATAAAGTTTGCTCAAATTGAAGGTTTTTTTTAACCTCACCTACTTTTTAAAAAGATGTTGCATCTGTACAGCAGAGATACTTTTAGGGAATATGAATAAATATAATGATCATTTTTATTGTATGTGGCATGTTTTGTATGGATATTATTTTGAATTGTACATATTTTTTTCAGGACGCCAGAGGTTGCATCTCTTTATATACTGGTTTCCCCCACTCCCTTTCCCCTTCATCTTATTTCTTTGTCTGCTTTTGTTTCTTGTAAAGGAAAATAAAATGCATTTTAAATATGTTCTCATTTTCTGTCGTTAGAACGCGACCTGAGCTTCGTGTTTAGGCCACGTGGCAACAGCAGGTTGAGCAGATCTAAAGGGGAGAGAGAAGACTTCAAGGAAATTCACATATTCATATATATATCTGGGCTGCAGGGTGGCGCAGTTAGTAGCACTGTTGCCTCGCAGCAAGAAGGTTGCCGGTTCGCGGAATCTTTCTGCGTGGAGTTTGCATGTTCTCCCCGTGCAGCGTGGGTTCTCTCTGGGTTCTCCGGCTTCCTCCCACACAGGTCCAAAAACATGTTGAGGTTAATTGGTGATTCTAAATTGTCCGTAGGTGTGAATGTGAGTGTGCTTGGTTGTCTGTCTCTTAAGTGTGGCCCTGTGATAGACTGGTGACCTGTCCAGGGTGTCCCCTGCCTTCACCCTGAGTCAGCTGGGATAGACTCCAGCCCCCCCGCGACCCTAGTGAGGATTAAGCGGTGTATAGATAATGGATGGATCTATATATCTGTAGTGTGTTGGCAGTTGTTGAAGTTGCATTATGGGTAATGTAGGCTCCACATTTTGACAAGGAGGACAAATATCAGTTTTGATACTTTCTAATTGTCCACTGTGATGCTGGCTGTTTCAAAGGAGCTCTGAAATGCCAGTATGGACAGAATGATTTCAGAAAACACCTGTTTGTCAAGACAGATTTCAGGAAATGTGATCCTGTTTAAATCCTAGTGTATGCTCACATCCCTCTCTGGTCAGTGATTAAACCAGGGGTCTCGAACTCCAGTCCTCGAGGGCCGCAATCCTGCAAGTTTTAGATGTTTCCTTCTTCCAACACACCTGATTCAAATGATCAGGATCGTTATCAGGCTTCTACAGAGCTTGATGATGAGCTGATCATTTGAATCAGGTGTGTTGGAAGAAGAAGAAGGAGTTCGAGACCCCTGGATTAAACCTCTAAACTCACCTCTGTATATCAAAGCTGCATATTCAGATTTTTTTTTATGAAATAATCCTTGCCTGCCTTAGAATGGCTTCGCTGTAACTCTCTTATGTGCACATCTATCTCTCTCCGTGCACTATTCTGCCACCTGTCTCCACACAAACACTGCAAACTACTTTTTAACGACACAATGGAAGGTTGTAATGTTGGAATTCAGCCATACGTGTTCAAAATGGAAACCGATTCGTAGGAATAGCGATACCAAAAGTCCCACCCTGCAAATTGGCAAGACTAGTTTCTCAGGTTGTGCTTCTTATGAAGCTGTCGGAATGAGTGTTTTTGAGACTGTAGCTGGTACACTGCAGCTTCTAGGTTAACAAGGTCTAAAAGTTGATTTAATTAAATTGTAAAGGAGCTGCTGAAAACAAAAAAACACTGCATGGCATGTTGGAAAAAGCACCGGTCAAAGTCACAGATAAGAAAAAGAGGAATTTATTGTATATCATCTATATACACTTTTGAACTAATTCTGAAAAGATCTGCACAATATTATTTTGAAAGTATTACCTATGAACAGGATGTCTGATGGTCATATACCCATGGCAACAAACCAAACATGGACAGGAGTGTTTTTGACAATTTTGGTTCAACTGACAGCAGTCTCCCATTTCCCCTCCCGGCTCTCTTGTCCGCTACGCTCTGCCTGCTGAACTACTACCCATGTTAACAGTAGCAGCAACATTTCTGGGGTACATAGCCAACGACGCAAACAAAAACAAAAAAAAAAAACAAAAACGGAAAAGGACACATAAGAGGCGGGAAATACATGTCTTAAGTTCAACTACCTCAGTGCAGAGGACCCAGTGTTTGACAGCATGCAAAATGGATACGAAACATGACACATGGATTCTGGATCAAGAGATGGCTTAACTAACATTAACTAACGCCCTTGTGGACATAACAGTGCAGAGCCCAATGGTGACAAATGTCAGTGTAACACTTTCATAGTCTCGTCCGCAGAAAGACTCGGAGCCGCAGACGTAAAATGAAAAACATGCAGTTTCACTTGAGGGGTAAAACTTCTCGACTACGTTTTACATCTAACCGTGTGTTCCCTGCGTGTGAACTGTCAGCAGTCGTCTGTGTTTCTGAATAAATAGCCAGTGGCAGTATCAGGATTTAAGGTTTCCATGATGCTCCTCAGGATTCCAGTGTCAATGAGAAAAACGAGATGTCACCCCAGAGGACATGTGTAGAAACAGATCTGCATTGCTGTGCTCGCAATAGAGCCCAACAAGCAATACAATTACATATATATATTTATATTAAAAACAAAAAAACAGAAGTTGCAGCAAAGTGATCTGGGATCAGTAGTACCACCAAATTGCCAAGAGAGGAGCAACTGAAAAACAAATTCCAGCAGATAACACAGTCTATTTCCTGGCACAGTTAGAAACCATGCAGACAGATCAAACAACAGACTTCTGAAAGTACCATCCAATTAAAATCACTGTTCAAATGTCCCACTGGTGCTTGTGGCATAAAAGGAAAACAAAAAAAAAAAATTGCATGTTTTATTTACAAATCATATGTACCCATCATCAGTAGTGTCTAATGTCAAAGTCAGAAGAGAACACCCATCATGACGTCTTTACACGAAACACAAAAAATATACTTAAAAAAAAAACAGAAACGGTATTTCTCATTGCCATTTCACACGCCTCTTGTCCGCTCAGTTTGCTCGATGTCGTCGCCCGTCACCGAACAGGGTTACGGCTACATTCGGATTTCACCTCGCTAAAATGAACGCGATAACCCTTTAACGTCTGATGGTGAAGGCTCCAGCTGAACTAGGACGTTCGTTTTCATATCAAGACTGGTTTGTCACATCTCATCTCACAGTGTTCATCAACATGAAATAAAAACTATAAACAAATAAATAAAAACAAACAAAAAAAAAACAAACCATCCCAAACATTATCCCTGCCACATTTTTTCAAACTAACACCAGGACTGGACCGCATCTGCTTTTGTGATACCTGCGGGGGTCTCACGCGCGATGAGGAAGCTACAGTTGAGTGCAACTAATTTCTGGAGGATATTCAAGTGTGGGATTTTAAAAAAAAAAAAGAAAGAAAAAAAAAGAAGCACAATCTGGCTGTTCATGCTTAAATGACCGAGTGTCCGATAACTGATTATGTCTAATGAACTACAGCCTATACCAGAAGACAGCTTAGTGTCTTAGAAACATGCTAGTAGTCCAGACACCTTGTACACACACGACTAGAAACAGTGCTTCAGCCTCTTCCTCCCCCCTCCTCCTCCTCCTCCTCCTCCTCTTCACACACCTACAGCGACAGAATGTGATGTTTGTCGTTCTTTAAAAACCCACGACATGCTCCGCTCTTCTGGACGCCGTTTAGTCCGTCATTGGACAATTTCAGAGAGGTAAAAAGATCAAACAAAACAAAAAAATAAAAAATCCTGTCACTGTACAATAGTAATAATTCCTGCCATGAGAAATGAGAACGAAAAGGACTGAGTGCGATGATATTAACAGTGGTAGTGCTGTAGTGTTGTGGCCCGTGGAGAAGGGGGGGTCGAAGGGGAACAGAGGGGAGGAGGGGGACACGTGAGGAACAAAGGGGTGGCGGGGGGGAGAGAAAAGTCAGGAGGAGGAGGAGGGAGGAGGGAGGGTGATTCTCAGTAGTTTTGGCTAAAAAGGTGAGGTAGGCCTTGTCACAACTTGGAGTGTGGCTTTAAAACTGGCAGGGTTTTTCATTTGCAGTCTGTCTTTAGTGTTTGTTTCCTATGGGAGTGTGGTCTGGTTGTGCGTCTCCAGCACGTCTTTCGCGCCGCCTGGCCGCTCACATCTTGACGTCCTCCTCCACGCTGAGCTGAGACAGAGTCTTCTTGATGCGCAGGGCCGTCAGTCTGGCCGCTCCGTTGGCGTACCAGCACTCCCTCATGATCTTCCCCATCACACGCAGCGACTGTGCAGACAAAAGGACACACGGGTTAGAGTTACGAAACACAACTTCTACCTCTAATCCTCTCAACTACAAGCACTTCCTGGTCAGTGTTTGGCTACTGTTGTGTTTTTATTCACTCAATATAAAGTCCTGTGCCTCTGTGGAAACAGCACAAGCATGGTGGAGAGAACTCAAACATGTCTTTTGTGCAGTATAACAATGTAATAATGCTGTTATAGCACGCAAAAAAGAAAAAACTACAATTTGGTTTCTGTGATTTACAACCATTAAAAAAAACAAAACAACCAACATGGATAACATTCTTCCAAGCACCCAGGGTGTTACCAATAATAGGAAAAACATTTTAGAGAGGTTTTACTGCTTATATTTTTGGCTCCATAATGGTGCCCTATCTGCTCAGCCTGCAGTTCAGCTCAGCTCTACTCAACATTTTGTTACACGATTGTCAGTCACAGCTGCCACGAAGCACAAATTACATTTATTTTACTTTTTAATCAGTTCATTTTTGGTACTTTTTAAATGTAGACTGATGCGATTTTAATGAAATATCACAACCTTGGTGTTTGGTTAGGTTTCCCCCCAAAAAAACAAAAGTCACACATGATTCGTTGAAGGAAAATTCAACAATTCTAGTTTCTTCTTATGATAAATGACGGAATTCTGGCAACTTTTAAGAAGAATACTTTCAAGTCTTCGGTTAAATAAGATCTCTGATTGTCCCGTTAAATGTAGTTTCTGATCTGCACTAATATTTTAAACCGATGAAATAAAGGATGTTTAAGATAAAAGTCTCAGAGAAACCTTTGAGGTTACAAAAGTCACATCAAGAAAAATCCTCCTGCATCGATAAATTCCCACTGCTCAGCCCTGCTCAGCCCTGCACTTCTATGAAGTGACGCAGAAGGAAACCTGCCGGCCCTTTAATAGGCTTCTGGACCTATTATTGACTGATATAAAAAGAACAATGGAAGATGAATGACACAAAACTCTCAAAATACACTCCAACAACACTGATTTAGACATGAGCAGCCCAAATTAGTAGTCGAGTCAGAACATCTTGTACTGCCAAGCAAATAAAGCCCAACTGCTTCCCTATACAGCCTCTCAGCATATTTTTAGAAAAGTGCAGCTGTTAGTGTACATAGTGTGAAATACCTCGTAGCTCTGCCACCAGTTGGGCACGTTGGGCCTCAGTTTCTGGTCACACACCACCTTCCTCATCTCCTCTATGGACGGGTCAGAGGGTACGAGGTCGTAGTAGGGCAGCTGGTACTCTTCGTGGATACCTGCAGGACATAACGGAGAAGCCTGATCAATCTCTGATGTAATGCAGTTGAGTCATCATTTTTTTTTTTTACCCCCACCATCAGCTGCAGTTCGTGTTCTTACCTCCTGCGTTGCAACGACGCGCAATCTCCCAGTACACCAGGCCCAGCGCGTAGATGTCGGCACACTTGAAGGAATCAAAGTGTTTCATGTTGATGGTTTCATCCAGGACTTCTGGAGCCATATACCTGGGAGGGGGAGGGCACAAAGAGTGAGCAGAGTGAAGAGGATCATGCACTGGTAAAGAGGTAACTTCACAATATAAGCCTTTGCAGCTTTCCTGAGGAGGGAAGAGCTTTCCCTCACACGGCAACATGATGCTGAGACCTGCAACCGTACTTCTGAGAGCTCAACATGTCAAAAGCTCCGTTCGTCTCCTTGACGAGGACGAACAGCGAGTCGATTTTCACATCAGGAGGACGACTTTGGTTTGATGATGACCAAACATGTCGGTGACCTTTCCTTGTGACACAAACCCCATCTCAGCTTTCAACACTTATTTGCTGATTGCTCCTCAACAGAATGGTTCAGGAAAAAGGAATTATCCCCACCGCTAACATGCAAACTCTCCAGAACCCAAGACAAGGAAATTCCATCCATCCATCCAT